ATTGGTATTCGTCCGCAATATAGTAGACGTAGATATGGGGGCGCAGTCTTTCCGCTGTACTGGGCTTCTTTGAAGCGTCTGCCGAGATGCTTAGCTCACTCTCTTGAGGGAGTTCTAGTCAATCGTGTGTTAGCAGAGATAAATGACCGAGGATTTTACATGTCCTCGTACCTTTATCTGGAATCGCATAATCTCCGGAGTATAGGAACTCAATCATCAGATTCACTGTCGTGGTATTATGTCCCTTAATTTGAATGACTGCCTCAGGAGCATCCTGTAGGATTATTATCAGCTCCATATGGCCGCTTTATTAAAGTGTCGCCTCACCTCAGACGCGTCTTTGTATTTATGAGATAGGATCTCAGACTGGGAACAGACGATGGCTTTGTGCACATGAAATTCTTCTCCTTCACACTCAATCTTGAGGTCACTGTACTGTCCAGAGTCTTTGAGATCGTGGAGGAACAGAGGAAGGGTGTCTTTCGATGACATCTCTGACAAAGGGGGATACAAGTGAAGTCTAATATAAAGTATTAACAGCGGTGATAAACGATTATGAAGTGAAAGTGAGGATTGATAAAAAGGAATTGAGGATAAAAGGGATGAAGAGCAAGTAAAGAAATAGTGTTAGCGACATGGATTTTGAGGGCCCGCCATGGCTGATTCTGTTAGCTTCTGGTTAATGCAAACGCATATGCTTAAAGTTTGTCTTCGGACTATTTTCAGTTTCGTGAAGAAAGAACACTCAAATTGTGTTCTCAACCAAATATTTGGAAAGCCCGACCAGCATAAAAGGGAAACGCATTAAATATAGTAATCCATGTCTGATGTGCTTCTCGCCGCCTGCAAGAGCTATGTGAGAAACGTGATATGATTGGTTCGGCTCTAAAACTTGGAAGAGGTAGTATGGTGGAAGCAATTTCGCTCTCACTTCAATCATCCTTCTCTTACGGAACCTAGAACGGAGATCCTTGGTGCTTTAAAGGGGATTTTCGTATGTATGATGCCCCCGCAGGGAATCGAACGTCTACGTCTCTGACGTGCGCCGAAGCGTCTGTACTGCTTCCTCCCATATCTTACCATCGCGCCAGTACCCTTCAACAAGTGGCTTCCTGCCCGGATGACCAGCACGAGGCAGCTCATTGACCCATCCCCAGCGCAGCTTCTCCTTCCAACCCTTTTCTTTCCACGAATTGAGGTCGGAGGACGGTGAGTCATTAAAAGTGGGGAGATGCAGTAGCAAATCAGAATCATGGGCTATGCATATCAGAACATTTTCAGATGCCTCAAAGTCTAACAGTTTAGTGACAGACTTCTGCGCAACCTCCGCGTCGAAAAAGGCGCTGCCTTCATAACCGGAAACCTCATAGAAGGGCTCTTGTCTTGGGTCAACTTTGGCTATCGGGTGGCTGTTTGTGAGAATGCTGCAGGGACATGGACTTGGAAAGAAACGATCTTTGTCCAAGGCCTCTGACGGGATGTTGTCTGGGAATGGAAGCCTGGCGTTCGGTCTTATGACGCCCGGGAAGTGGCAGATGTCACCCCCAAGAAAGACGAAGGTGTCAGCTGTTGTACGGGCAAGACCGCATAAGTGACCGACGCAGTGCCCAGGTGTGTCTAGTTATACAGTAAGCAGCTCCAACTTCTCACAGGGTAATCGATTGACTTACCCAGCAAATAGAATGAACCATCTCCAAAGAAATCTTGTGCACGAAACCCTCCGATCGTTAATCCGTCTGCAAAGTCAGGCTCAACCACGTCTCTCTCAGCGAATGCATCCGCTGACACAGGAGACTCAGCATCGTCCGGGAAGCCAGGCAGTAAATGAGGATGGGATTTGAAACCGGGGCCTACAACCAAGGAGGTGGTTGGGGGAAACAGAGCGACGTTTCCTATATGATCCCAGTGGTAGTGAGACCATATTACAGACCCTAAACCGTCAGCACTTGTGAGGAAAATCTGTATGGATATAAACCGGAATTCTTACCAATATCGCGCAATTCGATGCCCTTCTCACAAAGGATCTCAGTGACATCTTTGTCTACTCTCGCCGCTTTCATGGCTTGATCAAAAGGCTGGCGAACCACTGGAGGGAGGTTCCAGTAGTCCTTACGCGTGCCGAGGTCGAACATGACCTTCTGGTTTGATGCCTCATGTTCTATAAGAAAGGCAACATCGGTGAGGTTCAAAATTTCATGGCCCGGCTGCACTGGTTGTATGAGGAATCCGGTGTTGACGGTCATTAAAGTGGTGGTGTCGACCATTCGCACCCGAACGGTACGGTCGGACTTTGGAAATTCGAGCATTTCGCGGTTGGCCTCGGATGGCTTGAAATATCAAGTAACAGATATGTCTGCAGCGTGCATATCCAAACGATGGATTTGCGACCGTCTCTGGTTTGTGCGCTCTATATATGCAAAGGATGGGGTGGTTTCACCGAGGATAACCAGTGTGTAACGCGTATTGGCTCACGCGTATCCATCCACCCACTTGGTCCAAAATTGTGCCATCCACCCCCTCACTTGCCCCTCCCACTGATTCGCAGCATCAAACCCCACGCTTGGTTCGAGTCCACTGATAACCATCAAGTACACACAGTAAGGAACAGTCTAATGCACCCTGTCGCGACAGTCCAGACCTCGGTCATTTTCCCTCATGATAGGCCTTACTGAGTGACAGGGATAGTGATAACTGAATGCCAGATGGCAGGTTATATATTGGATCGTCGGTGCGCCCGCACTACGTCCTCCAGCTAAGTTTGGCTCATTGTCTCCACCCTCAACTCAATTGATTCAAGCATCGAGTGATTTGTAACTCACCCCCACAAACATGGGCTCCATTGATCAGACTGTGCAAACCAATCCGGTGTTCGAGAAGTATGGTCTACCCGGGGATAGTCGCCTTGGGAGCAATACTCCGGGGCCTCATCCTGCCTCAGTAACTAGACCCGTCCAACATGCCGAACTCAACAAACCATCCGACCGGGGCTATACGGTTTACAGTCATCTGATCAACGAGCCTCCACTGGGGAAACCGTTCAAGATAATCATGATGGGAGCGGGAGCATCGGGGATCGACTTTCTCCATTATGCCCCATCGGCACTAGCTGGACTAGGTGTGGAGATCGTGTGCTACGAGAAGAACGCAGATATCGGGGGTACTTGGTATGAGAATCGGTACCCAGGATGTGCGTGCGATGTGCCTAGCATTGCCTATTCGTTCCCGTGGCGTCCAAATCCAAACTGGTCGAGTTTCTATTCGAGTGCAAAGGAGATTTGGGAGTATCTGAAGCAGATCGTTGTCGAAGAAGACATGATGAAGTATATCACGCTAAACACCCGCGTGGTATCGGCAATTTGGAACGAGGAAAAGAGTAAATGGGTGGTCAAGCTGCAACAAGATACGCCGTGCGTGAAGGAGTGGGAGGATGAATGCGATGTCCTGATAAATGGAGCTGGCTTTCTCAAGTGCGTCTTATCCCCTTCCCCCTCGCATTCATCCTCCTGACATCAGAGCAGCTCCTGGAAATGGCCGGACACGCCGGGACTACACTCCTTCCAAGGAACACTGTGCCACACAGCAGCCTACCCCGAGGGGCTAGATCTGAAAGACAAGCGCGTAGCTGTGATCGGATCGGGCAGTTCAGGCGTTCAAGTCGTTCCCTCAATCCTCAACGATGTCTCACACCTCTACACCTGGGTGCGAACCCCAATCTGGATCACCGCTGCTTTTGCGCAACGCTACGCTGGGAAAGACGGTCGCAATTTTGACTGTACGTTGCATTGCCTGCCACAGAAGATAAACTCTAATGCAATACAGATACCCAAGAGCAGAAGAGCGACTTCAACAAAGACCCCGAAATGTACCACCGGTACCACAAGTCAGTAGAGCATGAGCTCAACCAACGCGCCAAACTCACACTCCGCAACACCGCTGAGTCGGACGAAGCGAACGCTGTACGTGCTTTTACCAATCTATCAACCCCAGAAACTAACCCAACATCAGTCCTCCTACAAGAGCATGTCCGACAAACTCGCACCAAAACCCTACGTGAAGGACGCTCTAATCCCCAAGACCTTCAACGTAGGCTGCCGACGCCCAACACCCGGCACAGGCTACCTAGAAGCGCTCGCCTCCGACAAGACAACCGTCTTCACGGAACGAATTCAATCCATCACACCGAAAGGGTTCATCGACTCCGCAACAGGAGCTGAACATGAAGTAGACGTCATCATCTGCGCCACCGGATTCGACACATCGTTTCGACCCCGATACCCGATCATCGGGTTAGACGGCGTTAATCTGGCAGATAAATGGAAAGATGCTCCGACCAGTTACTTGACAGTCAGCATCGACGGATTCCCGAACTACTTCATGTACGGAGGTCCCTTTACGCCTGCGGCACATGGGTCCATTCTCCCCATTATCTCCCACGTGACGAACCACTTCATCCAGATTGTCAAGCGTATGCGGAGAGAGCATATCCGGCGACTCAGTCCTAAGGAGTCAGCAGTGCGTGACTTTGTCGAGCACGCTCGGACATACTTCCCACGGACGTGTTGGTCTGATCCTTGCTCCAGCTGGTTCAAGCAGGGCAGGGTTGATGGCCCGATAACCATCTGGCCTGGCTCTCGGCTGGCCTTTTTCGAAGCACTGAATACTCCTACATTGAGTGATTACGAGATCGAATATTGGAGTGGAAATAGATTTGGGTACTTGGGCTGTGGGTTCGTGGATGCAGAATTCTCCGGGGGTAATATCACCTGGTATCTGGATCGGTACTCGGACAATGAGGAATGGAGGAAACATGGGGTTTGGTACGATAGGGAGCAGAAGGAATTTGCGCATATAAGCGAGAAGGCATGTTCTAGCTAATGAAGCTAGTTGTATCATACAATTGATGCAACGACCGTTTCATAAACACACAACGCAAAGGCGATCCCGGTAGTCCACATATCAAGCAAAAGAAATTATCCATGGTATCACAACTTGTGACTATTTTAGTCGGTATACAAACGCGGAGGCATCCTCAAAATCCACCTAATATTATCCTCGACCATAGCATTTGCGACTTCAGCCTGTGGTAAGACATAGACGCGTCGAAACTCATGAGGCATTCCGGAGAATATTTCGAGGGATACCCGAACACTAGTAGACCGTCAGTGCAGCCCGCGTATATGAAGAAACTAAGAAAAACAAAGCCCTACCCAGCTTGTTCCATGCAATGTGCAAGTCTCAACGCCTGATCCCTCAACAAGCTCTGACCCGCAACCAGCATGCAAGTCCGCGGCAACCCCGAGAAATTCGAACATTCCCCCACAGTGAAATGCGACAAATTCGACTCCTCCATTTCGAGCATGTCTCTATACATGTGGTGGACAGCCATCGGCAGAAACGGCGCGTTCCAACATTGATACCTCGAAAACTCGGTCTGCGCGGCCTTCTCCACGTCCATATGCGGAAACCACGGCGTAGTCAAGTTCAACCCTACGATGTTGAGCCTATGTGTCTTGGCCACTACCTCCGTCTTCTTCGCGAACATGGCAACCCATAGTGCCAGCGCAGCGCCAGAGTCCTCCCCGCCGAGGATGACGCGTTTCGAATCCCCGCCGTAACCTCTAATACGTTCCTGGATGAACTCGAATGCCTCCCAGGCGTCATGATACATGGCTGGAAAGGGTTCTTCCACGGTACTTCGGTAATCGATGCTAATGACAATGATGGGGCAGGTAGGCGTCAGGCTACTGACCATTTCGGCGCAGATGGCGTCCTCGGTGTCCAGATCTCCGCATAGGAATCCACCCCCGCGAAAGTGGATGTATAGGGGGAGCGGATCCGCGGTGTCTCGTTGCCCAAAGAAGGCTATGGGATAGTAGAGTCGGATGGAGATGGGGTTGTTGGGCTCTTTGGCTCGGGGGATGGTGGAGTTGCAAATTTTGACTCTGGATTCGTAGCCTGGTTATTGACGTCGCGTTAGCGCTTCATCATAGCAGGTATCTAGGGGGTTGGTAAATCAGACCCTTCCTACGCTTTTCATGCTGAGCACTCAACGCCCATTGATTGGTGATCTGGGTATCAAAATCCTTTGATAGGGAAACTCGTCGTCCGGAGAAGTCACGCCGCACCAGGGGATCCCGTTTGTATGGCAGAAATCTATCCATTGACTGGATGGTTCGTGAAGGTGCCAAGGGTCGTAATTCCGCGCTTCAGCGACTCGGCCTTGATTAGGAATATGATGAGATGTCATGTTTCGTCAATAGCAGAAGAGGCCGTGGATGGGCGATGGGGGATATGGATGCACCGCTCAAGTACCCTTTTATAGTGTCTTTGTCTGAGGAGTAACAGGAAGTTCTGGAGCTGCGAGTGCGGGAAGGCTGTTTTTGAATAAACGAGAAGATTTCTTTGTTGCGGTCTTTTGCGAGGGTGACACAAAGACGGATGGATGCTCCCGAGTTCTTTGATGTTGGTTTTGTCGAACAACCTTTCTTTGGGGTTGTTAATCGTAGTCTCTGTTTCTGGGGTATCTCTTTTTATTCAGCTATAATAATACGGGATTGATGATGTATAATCCCTTGAGCCCTTCCTTCCTGATATGGAATACAGACAAACGCAATGTGTCGACCCCACAAACACTACATAGTATGTTCTATATCATGCTCAGATGTTTTCCTGCCTTTCCATAGGCAGCATACAGTATGGAGAATAGTAGGAGTAAGTTACGATCAATACATAGTCCCATGTATCCACTAATAGTAACTATCATGTCGACCGACATTGTATAACTAGTGCCTATCAGCACACCTCGGAGATCCCCCCATGTTAATAAACCCCCAAGATATTCAATTGATCATATCTTGTACAGGGAACCACTCACTAGGTCCCAGTATTACAGATCATTGCCCTAGGAGGTAAAGGCACGACTATATCTGCAACACATGTTAGACTAGCGGAGCGAGAGTAGGCATTTCGGGTTTTGGGAAGCTGTTGTACCGAGTAGAAAGACCCTGCGGAACATGAAGTAGCCTTGCAAGCCATGATACGCTCTGTCTTCAGACTAATCCGCGCATGTCTCTAGATCCCAGATTTTGTGACTCTTCCCTCACCACAACATCATTCCACGTCCATAATGCGGGGACGGGTTCGGTGCGTGGAAATAGCGGCCACACCAGGATCACTGACCCGCCAGGAGAAAAAGGTCACTGACTCTTTTGTGCCATTGATATTTGCAAGAGCTTCAAGATGGACACGTCTACCGAGAAGGATCAACAAGGTGTCCACGATATGGAAATCGGGAGAATATAAAATCATCGATTGTGCTGTTATCCAGACTGGCAACAACTGGACCCTCGTCACGGGTACCTAACCCCACTAAAAGTCTATTCTCACATCTTGGCTTCCTTTTTAGGTTTAGACTGGCCGGTCTGGGGTTTGAACCCACATATCGTGACACCAAACGGTGGTGACAAAGCAATGCCGCAACACTGCTTGCCATTTTCGCTTCGCCGATGTTCAAACTCTGCTATACATCTTCATCTCATCATCATGTGCATCCGCAAATGAAGCACTGCTTGATGCTTGTTAACTTTTCACTCCGCTCACCCTAAACCCGAGTCTGTGAGCATTGTCGCTAAATTCACAGCATGGTTTTCATTGGAAAATATACAATAAGACTTTGGCTGGACGATCCATCGAAGTCACTTTATCGCGCTTCCCAATACACATGACCTCCGATCGGACGCCTTCAGAAGTCCCAGCTAAAGGTAGTTTACCCCAGTCAACTACCGAGGTAGATCCTCGAGTTAACTTCTTAACCTCCTAGACTGCCAAGTCTGCAGAACCCGTCGTATCTCCTGTGATAGAACGCTACCTCACTGTCGAAAGTGTGCTTCACGGAAGCTTCGGTGTCCTGGATATGGGATCAACCTAAGATGGGGCCAAGGTGTCGCAAGCAGGGGAAAATTGACAGGACAGGCAATACCGGTACGAAGGAATTCCCAGACATCGCAGGTCTCTCATCGCCGAGTAGACATCGCAGTACCCAATGTGGACCTTCAACTACCGGCCCGATGGCCCGGCTTGCCCTTCGACAGCCTTACTGCTCAATTGCTCGACCACTTCGATCGAGGCGTCGCTACAAGACTAGCATGGGTGGATGACCTCCACAATCCTTGGAGAAGCGTAGTCTTACCTCTGTCGCACGACTCATCAACCGTACGATATTCAGTGCTTGCTCTCGCTTCGAAGGACCTTGCCGCCAAATATCCAGCAGACCATCATTGGGCACAGTCACTCCAAGCTATCTCCCGTCACAACCAAAATGTGGCCTTGTCTTGGTTATCAAGGGACCTGAGACACCTACTTCAGGATCCGACCGCGGTCCAAAGCAAAGATCAAGCGAGACATATCCTCGCTTCTGCTCTCCTTCTCTACAACCTTGAACTACTAACAGCAGCGGCTGCCCAATGGCGCATACATATACAATGCGCCCGAGAAATCATCCAGTGGAACCTACAAACCGCCAGCAGTGCACTGTACACAAATGTGGCCGATGTATTCCTATTCTACGAGTACTACTACACATCAGTTTACATCGGATTAACCACATTCGATCCAATCGACCAGCTACAAGATGACTTCCCAACGCACGACAACGTCACAATATTCAGTGACTTCATACGAATCATGCACAGCGTCACCCGCGCCGAGCGACAAACATACACAACGCAGCCCATCTCGCAACCCGTCCCGATCGAATCCACACTACTAGACATAGAAATCGCCAAAGCTCGAATGATGCAGATGAGCCACACAATCAAGTTCAAATCAGACCAAGCCCGACAGGATTTCGAATGCCTAGTAGACATGTTCTATCATGCTACGCTTATCTACACTTACCGCGTCTTTTCCGACAGCGTATCCCCGGATGAATGCATACAATCTTCACTCGATGTGCTTCTCGAACACGTGTTACCCATATCATGCAGCCCCGCCGTCGCACAGGACCTAGTATGGCCACTCTTCATCACAGGCACTGAATCTAGAGGTAACCTACAGATGCAGAACATTGTCGAGACGGCCATGATGAATGTGATCCGAATGAGTGGGAACCTTGATCGGAGCCGCGTTCTTTCTTTCCTCAAGACGTTCTGGTCGTTGGATCTCGAACCTGGCACTACCTGGATCCAGTATGCACGGGACAGGTGTATCGACTTTAGCTTTTTGGTGATACTTTGAAATTTACTGAGGGGTTTGTTCAATACCTTCCCTATTTTGTATATACTATTATCGAAATATTATGAGGTTGAATACCAATGAACCAACAGCTGCAGAGATATCATGTCATATGTAATATACTAATTCTGCTAACAGTCTGGCTACATATATCTGTGAGGGGTAATGTTAATGACAGTGATTATATAGGGGATAGGTCGTACTAGATAAGTAGTGTAAGCTATCCTCTGACAGCTTCGCTCGTCTTGGTAGGAGGAAGGAAATAATATTATGACCTCGAAGATGGGGTATCCTATCTTATAGCTATTTCCACAATTTTCTTAGCAGCTTCATCTTGATTATCAGGCTACGCATGATGGATCGATGCGGGTGCAAGGCTTTTACTGGGTTTATTATTGGTAATGAGTCTGAATTTACGAAATTTGTAAGGTTGAAGATGTGTTCCATTCTTTGGTACTCTTCAAGATAATCTGATCTTCCTGTAATCGACCATATTGCCGCAATATAGCTTCCTCGTACTGAATCATGAAATGCTTCATTGTCTGATTCATGGGTCTTATCCTTGGCTTTGGTCTTGTATAATATCCCCGATGATCAGAAAGGGAACCATGACAAAACCGGAATCGGAATATATCGAAGCAAAGAACCGAGAAGATACTATATAGGAAGAAGTAGTAAGAAGATGTGCAAGGTTCTGTTCGAAACTGCAGTAACTGACTTCTGCAGAGCCATCACGAACACACACATAAAATTGGACCAATTGGCCCACTACAAGAGCACCGTATACTCCTCTGCTGCTTCACAGTCGACCATAAACGGAAGCTGATTGATTCGAACCCGCCAGAGGTTTCGCAAAAGAGGGGGAAGACGAAGGTGGGGACTGCTGGGACTTGACTCCGTTGACTTCGATAATAAAATCACATAAGAAAATAAGGAACGGACTACTACTCCGATCTCCAATAGTCTCGGTGCCGTCTTGCAGTCAACCAGATAGCCTCTTGCTGTAGCAGAGGTCTGTCAAGAAAGAGAGAGACAGAAAATACTTGCTTGGAGCTTCTCATGTTTCGCTGTTCGTGAAATTCAGTTTTTCTGAAGCTTGGGGGTCAGATACTCCAGGCAAGATAGTCCGAAACAAACTACCGGTATGGGAGAGCAAATATGTTGTTTTTGACAAAGTAAGCAACGCCGAGACTAGAATCGTTGTCAGTCAGTTTGAATGCTTTGATCATCCTAGTGAAGCAGGAAAAGCACTTACAGTCTCTCATTCTTTGCGCGGACTCCGCACAAACGTCCCTGCAACTCGAAGGTGTTCTTCGCCAACCAATCTCGGACCCAACTCTTTGACTGACGTTCTTCGGGAATGTAGGTAAATGTAAAGATCAGTCGAGTAAACTCGCGACGTCCTCCCAGACTGTGCCCACTGATACCAGTGTGGTAGATGTCATGTCTGAACGAAAGGCGAGGGCGGTCGCTTCATCTTAGGGGTATGCGAGGTCGGCTTGGAGATTGCGGTCGCCATAGTAATGCCTCCTCGCAAACATAAACCCTGGTGTAAGAGAGATCCAGTGGCGCAGACAAGTTAAAGCCCACATAAAGGGGGGCTGTGCATTGCAGCCGGTGGCATTTCATTACCAAGATAAGTTGAAGCTGACATGATCGCAGGGGATGACGTATCTGCGCTATAATACGTCATCCCCTGCGATCATGTCAGCTTCAAGATGCGGCTCTTGAAGTTGACTGAGCGCTCGCCCGCACAAAGATAGAACTGGGCTTGATTCCTCGCTACCAGAGCGCCATAGACTGCTCTCCGGCCCCTAAAATCCGCCACAGGTAACCCTATGCGCAATCTTGTAATAAAACCTTCCACTTCATTTACTCGTCCTCAACGAAGCAATTGCGGAAGCTCTCCAATGAAAACTCCAGCGGATTCTCAATGGGCTCTTCAACATCAGCCAGTGATACCGGCCAGTGGTACTTAAACAATGTGTAATCACTAGGCACGATAATGTTACCAGGTTGCGCCCCACCGTTCATAGATATCATTCGATTAAACCGTGAAGTCGTTAATGAAAGTTTAGCTGCTCTGATATACATGATCGCTACTCCGTATTCGAACATCTTTGGCCGATGAGACGCGAATTTCTGCGACGTGCTTGTCCAAGAAGTTTGTGTCGCAAACCCTTGGTAATGATGCTGGCCTTCAAGGACACTACGCTTGAAAGCCCCACCCAAGGCTGCACCGGTCATCCGTGCATCGGCTAATTTTCTTGTCTGCGCCTTGGAAATTGGCGTGATAGAAACGGGTGTAGCACCAGCTTTGGGACTGCTTGCGTTTCTTCGCGATAGGAAGTTCCAAATGTTCCGGAGGCATACTACCCATGCCATAAGAATGAGGGACACCTTGAGGGCCGCTAGCAACAGACACCGACGTCCTCATCACAATGTCCGTGATCCCTTTCTTCCCCATCCTGCTGTTGTTCATCCGTCAGAACGAACTATACAATTTCTCGTTGCCACCACTCTGATATTGCAACCCCCGAACACCGCGATGTGACATAGGAAGTCAAACCCATCACATACCTGCAAGAGCTTGTCCATAAGACACATTGCGCTGTTGCTCTGGAATAACGAATAACTCCAACTCAGCGGTGTATCTTCCACTGGTTTCCGAACCGGTGTAGTCTTTAGCAGTGGCATAGCCAAAGATATTCTCACTCTGGTTGCCTGAACCGCGCTCCACGGCAACGATAAAGGGAAGTCAGGCGTCTTTGGCGGCTTGGGAGAGTCCAAACGCTCATCTGTGTATTTGGCGTCTCGATTGAAGATGTCAAAAAGCTTGTGCTCTCCGTTCTGCAGAGGAAGTCGACGATACAGTGCCAGGAAGATGTTGTACTGCGTGACATGTGATCGGATGTCGAAAGTCGTGACATGAGGTAAACTGCCGGTCCATTGCAGATGACCGACATGTATATACGAATGGGTCGTAGCCGTAGCTGTGTATTCGCCGCCACAGATTGGAAGGATCGGACGCTGAATTAGCCCACTAGAACTGGCGGGTGACCAACTTGTTTGGCTTCATCTTATTCGGCAACATTGAACTGCCAGGTTACTTCCCTTAGGAAAGTTTCGAAGGTGTTCTCGGCACCGAGAATAGTTGGAGGCCCAGCCTCCTATAGGTAATACATTGCAACTAATACCAACATAGTTACAAGCTGATGTTGCAGCGAATGGCATCATTCAGACCGCTCAGGCAAGGCAGGTTGCTACAGTTTTGCCCAAACTGAAGACTGACCTCCACGATGTTTGGGGGGTCATGTATACCTCCTTATTGCATTGGTGTCATGCGAGCAACAATCACCTGTAGTATGGGAGCTTGAAAATATGCTTTTGTTTCGCATTTCGCGTACGGTAAGGCGCATTATGTAACGGAGCAGAAGACACAGCACAAGTAGTAGCCGATTCTTGGAATGACAGAGCAAAGAGGCCTGCTAAATTATAGTCGAGGAGACCGCACCCTGAAGATATGCGATTGCTTCAGGGTATTGAAGCGGTTATACTTGAACGTCGCTGCCTGGGGGTGCCATTCAATGGTAATATACCCTTCAGACATTGCGGTGAGGCAGAATAGAAACCCTTCAGGGTCAAGTAGGGCATTGAATTCTCGGGCATACCAGGCGGACATGAGTAGGAGCTCGGTCTGGCTAAGAAGTGAGTCGGTGTAATTTTCCATCGCCGGACAAACTGTTAGTTGGGATCTATATCTTCGAACTCATAGAGATATAGTAAACCCAAGTTATTGCGGCCAGCGCCTTTCATCGGGCGCGTGGTGACCTTGCTGAATCGTCTCTTATAGTTGACAGAGACACCAACGATGAACTGATATGATCACAAGAGCTGCTATGTTGCATGACCTTGTACGCTTAGACGGCTTGGTGTATGCCTGTGATGTTGATTTGTCCCGGACGTAGTGTGTAGTGACAAGTGCAACCCGCCTCGATCATGCTAGTGGGCTTTGTAAGAGAATGCGGACTGGTCAAGATCGCGTGTACTGTTGTCCCAAAGAACTCGCATACTTCGGTAGCACTCCAGCTCTCGAGAGCAAGCAGTCCTATAGCTGTCTCCTAGCAATCTACCCAACTAGCATCACGATCGACGGCAGCAACAAATATGTTCGCGATCGTCTTGTTATCTAGGAACACTGCCTCAATCTGGTCAGAGCTTACTCCTGATAAGACGCGCACTGGTTAAAAGAGGTGGCGCGACGTACCATTTGAAGCACTGGAAAGCTCAGGGGATCATTTTCAGGATCTTCTCTAGCTGAAGACCCGACAGTGCCCGTGCATGCCAAGTCGTATATATCGGGGGTCACATCGTTGCAGATTCAGAGACCCTTCCGAATTCTGCCCATTCTCATTCGGCCTTTTGTAATCTGACCATTGACCATCCGTTGCCCTGACGAGACCGCTGCACGGGCATGGACTGCTGCAAGGCGTTCCCTTAGCTGGAGCGGGAGTATTTGTGTCGTCATGACCGTCAGCCCACCGCAGTGAATCGATACGTGAGATCACCGATCGCCTTTGGCCGTTGCTGTATAAGACCAATTGCGTAGAAAGATTGTACCCGCAGCACTCTACTTTTTCAGAACACAATATATAATAGGTTACCTGCCAATAACCGAAGGCCAAGGAATGGCGGGCGGGCAGATGTCTGTGCTGAGTGACTGCACAGAGTGACTTTGTTTTTCATAAAATTATTGAGTGAGTTTTGGAGTTTGAACATCAGGGAGGCTTGAAAAAGGACTGTTGAACTTGAAAAGCTCCGGATGTTCTTAACGGTCATACAAAGAATGTGAGCTTTCTATATTGCGCTGCAGGAGACTCTGCGCCCCTTGTCCTTTGCCAGAGCCCCAGACAGTTTGGAAGCGCTGGACCATATAGTTGCCAGATGGCGGGTTGTGATGACGTTGTTAAGCAGCACCAGGCCAGCCAGTATGGACGGCAGTATATAGCGCCCAGTATCTGGTTCATGATTTTGTTGAGACACTGTTGGACTTTGCGTTTGACAGAAGCAACAGGGCGATTTTGTTGCGGGGGTCCATATATAGAGAGAGCCCTAATGTCATTCTTCATCCATTGATGAAAGAACGATTGGGGTTTCGAGAGTTTATAGCGATAGTCGGGTAGCCTGATCAACCACAGCCAGCAAGACCAAGCTGGTATGTGGGAATCTTTAGCTAAAATTGCTGAAGGATGAGCTCACCATGGGAAGCAGGGTCAAGCATGTCGCTAACCGCACTCATGGCTACTTGGAGCCCGCCAACACTCGGGACCCGCTCGTAGAAGAGCAAGGGTATTATTACCAGAAGTCAACTGCTCCAAACCCAAGGCACAGTCACAAGAGCGTAAATGGAGAAAGTAATCACCATGGTGGGAAGACGACCGCAGCATTTTGATGAGTGTGTCCTCATCATACTATCAGATGATTCAAGGACTCAGGAAGGGTATATAGGAGATGAACTGCGAGACTTGTATGTGTGTGGAAGGCAACAGTAGAAAGAGGTGAGCAGTAGCAATATATGTAGAACACATATCGAACAAGATAGTCCGCAAAATGAATGATGGAATCGTAATGGGGAATCCTTGATCATATATGCAAAGCATATACCAAGCATGACATTGTGTCGGACTTGTGACACAGAGACCATGAAGGAGGGTTGTCTGTGGATAAGGAAACCGCACATCGATGATGCAGGAGCCGAAGAACCAAGAATAACATCAGTGGCAAGTAATCCGATACCACACACAAGACATAGTGGAACATATGAAAAAGTGAAGTGAAATAACAACATCCATCATGCATAAGTGAGATGCAAACTCCATTCAGTAGAAAAGAAGTGAGAAGTGGTCACAAATGATAGTGTTGCGGTAGTAGCGAGGGCAATTTTGACTTTATGTGGAAACCCTCACGACCACTACCCGCCGCCATCACCACACACCACGAGCACAGAGATGCGCATGTGACATATAAAGGAACGTGCAGTATAATAATATAAGAAAGACTAAAATAAGAAAGGAGGACAAAAGGTCACGGACACAAAGAAATCATCGATGCAACGGGCGGCTGCCGGCAAACCCAGATCGTTGGCGTTACCGTTGTACACTTCGCCTGGAACTCGTTCTTAATCCAGGATAAGTGACCCATCAATCAGTTCCTGATCATGTTCGAGGTTCAACAGAAGGTTGTTGTCTTCGAAAATGAACAGACATAGTAGTTGAGCTGAATATATAAGTGATGACTAACCACTCCCGGAGGTGGTTGACCAGGAGGGCAGATGCATGAGAGAGAATGAGAGAGGGAAAAACTTCCAGCAGGGTGCAGGGAGATTATATAGCTTTCCAGGAGGACGCTAGGTCACGTTACAGGAGGCAAATTCAAGACTTTCTCGACGGAGATGGCCAGCTGATGACGCAGGCCACGGCTCCCGGGGGAAGGGGGACAGGGTTCAATTACTACTTTGCCTCCCAGACAAAAGGAAAGGACCGAAGGAAAAGAGTGGATGGAGGGGGTGGAGCATCTAGTGTGAAGAGAAGAGCCTATCATTAAGTGTTTCTATCTCGTAGCATCGTTAAATCCAGGGATACATGGTCCGGCATCACCCCAGATGAGCATCTTAGACGGTTCCAGCCTGCGCCTTCTTCCTCCGGAAGAGATACTGTAGGTTCAAGACCACGGTCTGGACCCATGACGCGGCTGCCAACGCACAGATGGCCGTGAGGCCGTGGATGTACAGGGGGGCGTCCGAGGATCGAAAGATCTGGGCTCCAGAGATACCCGAAAGGTTGGCGGACATGACGATCAACCTATTTTTGCCACCGCATTAGCAAGTATTACCTTTATGGAATTAATGAGGGTAAGTGTAACACGTACGCCATGGATATACTCCGCTCTTGTGGTGTTTTGCAATAGAAGGAAAGCCACCCAACGTTGAGAACACTATCCACATTAGCATATAAGCATTCAACGGGATATCTGAGGGGTACATACTGCATACTACAGTAGGCTACATTAGCAATAGCAATGACCGCATACTTGTGCCAGCTTGATGCATCTGTAGGACTGGTGCGTAGACACGCATAGGAAATGACGTTCCACGTGATACAGAGGAGGACGAAAGGCCCCCGATGCCCGATTTTGTCCCTGCAGCAGTCAGCATCCAACTTCCCCCACCACAGGATCCGTGTCACATACGAGGAATAAGCCAGAATCGTCGTCCAGACAATACTAGCATACACTGGCACTGATGCCAGTGCATTTGCTCGGACGGCACTGAATCCGAAGGACTTGATCATGCTGGGAGTGTAAGTGTTCAGACCCTGGAAGCCGGACATGGCCACCAATGTGATGAACATATGTTGAAGCGTCGTGGGTTGTGTGACCGTCTTCCAGATATCCCGGCCAGTGATCTTGATATGTTCTCGTGTCTTTAGAGGGTCGTCCAGCAGAACACGGTCGATGATGATGCGCTTCTCACGAGGGGAGAAGTAGCTCCAGCGACCCATGCTGATGAGAGGACTTCCATCACCTGCCCTCTTGGGAATGAACATGATGAACAGAATAGCAGCGAAGATGGTAATCAGGCCCTCAACTACACACTGTTAGCTCTCCTCATTTACTCATGCCGAAGTATAGGGACACTTACCCAGGAAGATCCACCTCCACCCAGCAAGCCCACACTTTCCATCCAGCTTCAACAAACCAGCCGAGATCAGACTCGACGTTGCACCCGCAAACATCTGCCCATAAAAGAACAGAGTCGTCCGGAAACTGGTCTCAGGACGCTTATACCATGTCGAGAGATAGTACAAGGCACCTATACCAAACCCATCGTTAGCCCTACCACCACCGACCGAACAGGGCGACCAGACAAACCAGGAATGAACCCTCCCTCCAACAGTCCCAACAACAATCTCGTGGCCAGAAACGCCGGGTACGACTGCACAAAAGCCTGAAACGTGCCAACCAAACCCCAAGCGACCAGCTGTGTTGACAACCAGACCTGGGGACCGATGCGCTGAAGTATAATATTCGACGGGATCTCCGTGATGACAATACCAGCCGAAAGCAACTGTGTTCCGATGTTGATTTGGTTCGTGGTGACGCCTAGGTCGTCGGTGATAGTAGAGGTAAGGGCTGCGCTGATATTGCCTCGATCGATCTGAAGGCCGAAAAAAGCGAGGGCGAGGATGGGGATGAGGATGATATCAATCCTATATACCAGTCAGTATATGCTTATACCTACATGGCAGTGAATGAACGACAGGGACGACTCACTTCCTCCGCAGCTTGCCCTCCTCCTTATCATCCCAATCCTTGACGATCTCCTCCGACGCAACATCATTATCGGTATAGACCTCATCAACGACCTTCTTCTCCTCGAAAGGAGGCACAACCCCACCCTTCGGGTCCTCGAACTCGAACTGTCTCCCCACCATCACGACAACGACGATACAAGACAGAGGTTGAGCAACACTTTAGTGAGATAAGCCAACACCCTGAGTCAAGCAATCACCGACCGTATGCAAGGGACGTCCAAGGCAATCAGTAATAAAAAAAAGAAAAGCAAACACAGAAAAAAAAAAGTATATTCCTTTTTACCCACTCAACGACACAACGTATAAAAATCTCCGAGTCAGTCACAAGAAAATTTAGAAAAGCTACGGTGCCTACATCCAATCTACTTATATTCCAAAAAATCCCAGGCTCGGCAGAAGAGCCCAAGTCCACTGTCTGGGCACAGACAGCATAGCGTGAGTGTGGGTGAGTGTGTGTGTGTCTAGACAGAACAGTCAATGACCCGCAATTCCACTATGAAGTGAGACGGGGGCTTGATGGCGCAATCGCCTCTGGCTTTGATGTCAGGTTTAGTTTGGATCGCTGGCCGCGCGTGCTAGACTCACATATCAATTTCTATTCTAATTACCTTTTTATCCTTTAAGCGATATACCATATAAACTCACTTAGGCTGAAGGATCCGATGGTGTCATTTCTACCTGTTTTCATTGATCCCGTTATGGTTGTCGTTCCGGTAGGATTGATCTATGGATAAGGAACGAACTCGCTCGGGCCCGTCCCAGGGTTTATCTACCGGGTGTGCCTTTTCTTGTTCCATGTGTCTTTCTTTGCTGTCTGGTTCTCTTTGTTTCTCGGCTATTTAAACTTCCCTGGTTTCATGGTATCATTATCTATCTATGGTGTGATCGGTGTTTATCTGATTTCTAGTGCTATTCTTGGCTACTGTGTATCTATCCATTCGCCCACTTCGTCTACCCTACTATGTATGACTGACTATCGTGATCTACACTCGCCCCATGTCATGCATTCATTTTCATGAATTTTTCGTCATGATGTAACAATAACCCATCTATATATATACATAACAATAACGCTCATAACTCATATCTATACTCCGTCGTATCATCAAGTCCACGCCTCCCAACTCAATCCGTCTCTATACTGAAGACCCACCTGCGGGCCTTCAGCGGCAATGATATACCCTGGTTCACACACAGAATAGGACACCTTGGGCTGATTCGTGTAAAAGGAATCATACTTCACCTGCAGTGCATCCTTGAGGCTCTCTACAGACCCATCGGGATGCAGGACCCGCCACGGCTGGATGCAGGTGTTACCCTTGCAGGATTTCAAGACTAAAAGAAGGGCGTCGATGCGATCGATCACGCTGGAAAGAGGTCTGTTCAGGAGCTTGACAGTGTCCTGTTTGGCGTAGATGTTGTTCATCTGGTAGGGGTCCGTCTGGGGCTGTTAGGTTATCTTCAATAAAGATAGTGAGGCAAATAGTACTTACCGAGAGATCGTACAGCTCGTGGTCGCCGTCGCACCAGACGGAGTAGTACAGGTTATATTCTTCCGAGAGAATTCTCGCGGATTTGTAGGTGTTGTTTCCCACGATGGATGAGCCTCCGGGTCCTGGTTACGTCAGCCGTGTTTCCGCGACAAAAACAAATCTAAGAGATGGGGGTTACTCACCGATGGAGCCGTACTCACCCTCTAGCACGGCATGGCCCCAAAATTCGACCGTGACATGCTCGTGCAAGATCGACTCGGTCTTCTTGCTAGTTGAAACGGGCATCGGAGTACCATCAAAGTCCTCTCGCAGGGGAACTCCAGCCAGCTCGAACAGTGTAGGGGCGATATCAATGTGTGTGGTTACGCGGTCAACGCTCTTTCCTTCAGGAACGCCAGGGCCGCGAATGTAGAACGGGACTCGGATGTCCTCCTCATAGCCGGTCGTTTTGCCCGGAGGCAGACGATGATGGCCAATGTGGTAGCCGTTATCAGCACTGTAAATGATGTAGGTATTGTCAATCTGCCCGCTTTCTTCCAGCTGTGTGATCAGCGAGTCCACCATCTCATCAACGGCTTGCAAGGCGCGCAGACGCTGGCGATAGAGATGGTCTTCGTAGTCGATGACGGTCTGGTTCTGGAGTTCCATGGTTTGGATCCACCCCGCACCAGAGTCCTACTCTTGTCAGCGGCCATCCCCGCCATAGGACCAGAATATCACATACCTTGTCCGGATTGAAGTTAGGCGTCCGCGGCACCTTCGCATCGGCAAACAAATGCGCATGTCTCGGTGCAGGCAGCGGCTCCGTCATCTTCGGACCCCCAGAACCACTCAGTCCTTCCACATCGATGTTCGTGTGCGGCGCGATCGGCGCGACCGTCAGGAAGAATGGCGCATCGCTGTCCAGCGCATCTGCCAACAACCCCGATGCCTTCTCCCGCATCACATCCGTTGTGTATTGTCCCTCGTAGCTCCGCGGAGGCTCATGGTTTCGCTGGTACGTCGCGTTCCAGTAGGAATAGGTATGGGGATCGAGGAGAAAATCGGAGCCATTAAAGCCGTTCACAAACGGTGCGTTGTAGGTAGCGACGCTGTGCGAGTTGAACAGTTTCCCCGTGTAAAAGGTATTGTAACCGGCGGACTGCAGCCAAACGGGGAGGAAGTTTTCGTTGAAGCCTTGGGCGACGAATTTGGGGTATCCGCCTATGCTGCATTAGCAATCTTACACCGAGGAATCATGACCGATCTGAAAGGTATTCATACCATAAGGCGGGTTCACATCCGTCACATTAGTATTATGAGCCTGTCTTCCCGTCCAAAGGCTCACGCGCGACGGACAGCAAAGCGCAGTAGTGACGAAATGATTCAAGAACTCAGTGCCCTTCTCCTTGATTTTCGCCTGCGTATACGGCATATACGCCGGGCTATTCATCCGCAGGTCCTGATCATCCGTGAGAATGAAGAGGAAGTTGGGCTTGCGCGCAGAGATCGACGGCTCATCATCCAGCAGTACCTGCTGCTGCACAGCGAGAGCGTCGCATCCCACGAAGAGAGCTAATAAAGCCGGCAAGAACATCATGGCGGGAGCAACAATCCAATTCCTGAATTAATTTCCCCCTTGCACGATGTGGTTGTCACTGACCGACACTCCGTCACCAAGAACACTATTAAAACAAGAAGTGAGGTCGAGCTCGCGATCAAGATAGCGATGGCGCGGCAACGGCACGGGATAACGCCATAGCTCTGATGGAGCCGATCAGACCAGTAGGTAGAATAGACTAGTCAGTCAGCACCTGGACTGGAGCTGCAGAGACTCGAGAGAGAGTGTGTGAACCTGGACGCAGCGCAAAAGCAAAGACGCGCCTCGTGGGCGGTGGATCAATGATCGGATTTAGTGGCAGATGGCATCACAGGCGGCCAATGACCTCCGGGCCAACTGGCCCCGTCATTCCGGCAATACTGTCTACTTTGGACTCCACCATGCATCTCGGCTATATTTTGAATTGGCATTGATGGATGGGGACCCTCTTGGTCTTGGAAGTGTCAAGGACATTGAAGCGAAGACGATTCATTGGCTGGTTGAGGCATACTCCAGGTTTAGTCGCTGAGAGGCCCCTGGGGGAAAAGCAATGATGGGTGCTGCTGTTGCTCCACTGTGGACCTCGGCTATGGAATTACGTGCTTGGATCTAAGATGAGCTCATGGTTATGCTTTGAGGGACAGTGATATCAGTAGAGCGAAAAGAGAAGACGGTCATGTCAATTGCCTGATGTTATGTGCAAGAGTTAATCAGGGACTGTCTGGTCCCTTACGTGAAGTGAAGACAATGGCTTTGGCACTGTCCGTATCTCCGCATCTCCTCAATTCCGTCGGTCGCAATACAATCACATGATCAGGCTTCCATTTCGTTGCTCTTATGCACATCCACTACATACATGATTATATAACCAATTACCCTCATGCTCATCCTTCATATCAATAGGTATGGATTGTCTACCGCCAGGTGTCAGTCACCGTCGCGGTCGACTCTCCGCACGCCTGAGGAACCGTGTACTCCCGGTTCGGGTCGCTCTCCCACTCCACGGAGTCATCGCTCTCAATGCGAATGAATTTGTACTCAAACGACTCACCAGCCGGCAGAGTCACGGTTACATACCAGAGCGGGTTGCTGGAAGTGTACTTGTCAGCGCTCAGAGCTATGCCGTCGCTGGTGTCCCAGTCACCGAGCTGAGAGATCGACCCGACCAGGTAGATGTTCTCGCCGTAGGTGGTGGTGGCCGTCAGATCAAATGTCACAGCTACGGCGGTGGGAGTGGTGCAGGAGGTCGAGGACGTAGTGGTGCTGGTCTTACTAGCAGTTGTGGTGGTCTTACTGGTCGAGGTCACGCTGCCGGATCCAGTGGTGGTTGCCGTCGTAGTAGTGCCACCAGTAGCCACGATACTCGGCCACGAGGTGACAGTCACACTACTGTAGGTACCAGAGGCAGAGGTAGCCGCACAGGTGCCGGGCACGCTGCTGGCAGAGGTCTCGCCCCAAGAAGGAGGCATGACAGAGTTACGACGGTTGTTGGCGGTCAGCAGAGCAGCGTAAGACCAGGTCAGATCGCGAGCAGAAAGCTCGTCGCCATCAGACTTGTCGTATTGCTCGGACAGAGAGCCGTTGCTTGCGGCGTGAGTTTCCTAATCCTGTTAGTACACCACCTCTGTAAATATGAGCGCACATCTAGCGTAGACTTACCACAATAGAGACGAAACCATCAGCGAAAGTCTTTACGGCATCCACAATGCTGCTATAGGTTGAGCTGGACGAAGAGTACGTGCCGGTGGCAGCATCACTGTACAGAGCCTGGAAGAAGTCAAGCGACACGTCTGTGATCTCCAACGACCCCTGCTTGTCCCACTGGTACAGAGCATCGTACAGCTGCTCCGCGGCAGCCAAGGTGCACAGGAACCACGGGTTGCCGTTGTAGTAGCTATCCTCGGGGTACCGACCGACGGCAACCGCCTCACTGTCACTGAGACCATCGTTGAGAGTATAGATCGAGCGGAAAGAGTCTACAACCTCCTTATGGTTGGCGAGCGCACGCGGGGAGCAGGGCTGGAAGGTGGAGTCGTCGCACCCAGCCTCAGGATCAAAGGTGTGAATGCTTCCCAGGAGGGTGTTGGTGTCCTTGCCGGAACGGCTGCTATCAAAGTTGGCCAGGATGTATTCGCCGGTCCAGAAGGACTGCAGGTAGCAGAGAATCTGAGGTGCCTGCGAATCACACCAGGAGCAGGACGAGCCGACGGCCGTCGCGAAGGCACTACCTTCGACGAGGGCGCGGTGCTGCACAGCAATAGTGAAGAAGGATGAGCCATTAACTTCTTCCCAGAGATCTGCGACCGCGAGTTAGCTCCGATGCACAAACACCCTTGAACAGCGATCAATCAAACACACCATATCCCGTCTGGTTCCAGTACTGAGCCACATACGACAGGTCGTTCCTAACGAGGGGCCAAACAATCTCCGTTGCAGCGCTGGTGTAGCCATTGTCCTGACCAGTCAGCTACATATGTTGCAAATCAGACGCAAGGGGGTGGAGAACATACAAGCAGCCACTGCCCGAAGCCGATCATAGCAGTTGCTCTCAGGGCAGGACCATCACGCTGCGGCCGTCCCCAAGACCCGGTGTAGGCAGTCTCATCGACATTGAACTTGGGCTCACCAAGACCACCGCTGGACAGATCACCAGAGGGGTTACTGATACCCTGAACAATTGCCTGAGAGGAGATGTAGTTCTCAATGGTGGAAAGGAGATCAGTATCTCCATTGCGGAAGAGATCGACGAGGGTCTTGATGACGAGACCAGAGTCGCGAGTCCAAGTGTAGAAGTCTACAATCATAAGAAGACACGCCAGTCAGCAACAATCAAACAAGAACACACTCATAATCCGAGCTCAAAACATACAGTCCGGGTTATCGGTGCTGGGACTGGCAACGACAATGCCAGAGTCCGCGCCCGACACCCAAGCACCGTCCGCCCCGATGTTATTCAGGATCGCAGTACGAGCCACGGTCGCTTCGTTGCTCAACCACGAATCCAAGGTCGCGCGCTTGGAAATAACACTTGCCAGCCCCGAGCAGACAAGGCCGCTCAGGGCAAGAAGAGATCGGAACGACATTGCGGGGAGGGGAGTAACGATGTTGAGGATGAAGCTCAGTCACTCAGTTGTCGCGTCTGAGGGGGAGGAAGCTACTACTTCTACCCCTCACGGAGACCCCTGACTGACCACTTCAATTTATAGCCAAACCAACATCTGCACGAGGAGGGAAGCTGAAGGAAAAAGCACATGCATCAACACTCAACACATATTGCAATGCAACTTCGCTTAGCATCTAGCTTGGAATTCCTGCAGAGTCATCTCGCCACTTCAGCTCTTCAGCTTGTGAACGGACGAGGCCCAAGAACGACGAATCTCCGGTGGCGTGGAAGAACCAGCCTATCGCGGTGTCGGGCCGGCCCGGGGGAAATTGCACTGAATCCACCGGCACTGCAGAATGGCCCTGTGCCTTGGAGATGTGTCCAATCGCTGGTCTCATTGACCTGAATTGCAATTTATTTCAATTCCCGGGGATTCGCCGTCCCCGGTCGAGCGTGGTGGCTTGATTGGCTGCTATAACAATGGTAATTATACCTAACGGGAAGCTATAATGCAGGTCCCAAGGTCCAACGCGTGGTATATACCCTTCCATTAATATAACTAGTACTACTTATTATGACCCTATGTATCCCTTTGCCGAGGCCAGACACTTCCATCATTACTTTCATAAGGCTAGGTCCCTGACCCTCCGGACCCCTCCGCCAATGGCATCAGATGTGGAACGCCGCGGTATTCTGCAGGATGAACTCATATGTCCCGTTGCGGAAATCATCCGTAAGGAGACTGGCGCTGTTCGCTCCGAAATTCATCAACTGTCGTGATTCCTTCCACTGGGGCCACTCTATGTACTCCCCCCGATTGGAGTTCGGATCCAGCGTATACACAAAACTCAGATAATACGTGTGGCTGGAACTCGCTGCATAGTTCGGCTTGATCCCATAGAACACCTGCAGCAGGTCACTTCCATGGAAGGTCCCCAGAATTGGCGTGCCATAGTCATAGGTCGCCAGGTACGACCATTTCGGGAGGTCAGGGGAGAGCTCCTCTGCATATGAGAGGAATGCCCGCCGCGTAATGGTGAAGACCAAGTCGCCGAGAATGGCGGCCAATCGCTTAAATTGCGGATACCAGTTGTTGGCCGTGCCCGTCCTGAAGGGAGACCCATATGTGGTGGTGTCTGGGTACAGGGCCACTAATTCTTCAAGCTGCTCCTGGCTAGCGTCATAGAAGAAGTAGGAGCCCAGATAGTCGACTACCTCGTCGATCGTCGTAATATTGGACTGAAACAAGGCGAACAAGGTCCCCTCGTCCTCTTGGTCGCCCACGATGAATGGGACCCGCGCATACTTCCCTGCTTTGCCCAAAACGTCTGGTGACGCCGACAATGCCGTCCCGTCTGGTCGAGGCACATATGATAGCGCCACGGAGTGGTAGCCTATGATTCCCGGCACGGAGTTTGCCGCATTGAGGAAGTCGGTGTAGTCTAGCTCACGCAGACAAGCCAGGGTGTCGTTGGAAGAGGAACAGCCGGCAGAGTCCACAACGGCATCATATACTTGCTGTCCCTTGACCCCGTCGACGGGGTCAGCGGGAACAACACTACCGGAGTCCATGATGGCTCCCCGGAACAAGGGCTTGTCCTTGTAAGTGATATTTCCGTCGTACAAGATCATCTGATCAAAGACAGAAATAGCCCCTGCTGATTCTCCCCAGATTGTCACCTTGTCCGGGTCTCCACCAAAGGCCTCAATGTTGTCGGCCACCCACTGCAGGGCAAGACGTTGGTCAAGTAGACCTAAATTGGCGGACCCGTCCTCCAGAATCTCCTTTCCGGGCAAAAACCCGAAACCCCCTACGCGATAGTTCATCGCTACGAACACGATAGGCATGTTCTTGTCTATCGACGATGATACCATCGTTGTACCGTCATACATGGCTTTTGAACCAAGTTCAAAGCCTCCACCAAAGATCCAGACCAGCACGGGCAGCTTCGCGTCCGCGGTGGTCCCAGCCGGGCGCCGAATGTCAATGTTCAGACAATCCTCGAGGGCATTGGTAGCCGACTGTACCAAAGGAAGATCCGCAAGGAGACCAATGACCGATGTCGGAAATTCGCTCTCATCCGTGGTGAAGTACATCTGCGGACAAGACTGCGAGGCGCCGGTTGCTTGAACGGTACCAAGGGCGGTCTCCAAAGGCTGTGGAGGCTTCAAACGCAGCGAGCCCGTGGGGGCCTGCGCGAAGGGGATATTGTTGAAGCTCTCAACATCGCCCGACTTGCCAATGATGGTGGCCGATGGATGCGCAATAGTGACAGTAGGAGCTGCATCCCGTTGGACTGGGGTGGCCCAGACGGCGAGGGGAAGGGAGAGCCAAAGAAGGGCCTTCATGATGGCCATGATCTGTACCGCTATGGGTCACAGACTCTCCGATCGGGCTACGAGGAACCCTATATACAGTTTTCCATTTCTTTCCCACCTCCGTTTCAAGTGCCAGAAATCCATCTATGTCTTGGAGCATAGTCCGAGAACCGAAAAACCAGCTCCCAAGGGTGTTTCGACATCTCCATGTGCCTCCTCGGCTGTGGATCCAGTTATGAGACCTGCATTTTAGGCATCAAGACAGCAAAAACCCCTATACCCCTAGCCAGCTGGCCTGACGATCGCTGATCCGAAGGTTTTCTCCATCATGGGGGAAAGGCAGCGTGGGCGGAGAATATCACGCCAACCGGGTGGTCCAGGAACGGTCGAACCCGTTCCCATGCGCAAACCGAGGCTGGTACAAGGGAAGGATCGTATCAGCAGATCAGTGAGAATATATTAAGCCAACATTGCTAGCATCCTGTTGGTCACTTCACGAGGATTGAGTTGATCAAATGCCGCTTCCCCCGCAGTTCAAAGGCTGCAGAATGGCTGCCTCTGCGGGGAAAGGAGCCTCGACCGTTGCGCTTTGGTTCGCCAACTCGGACATTTCACCTACTTTGTCGAATCCTTCCGATTCGCATGCCTGGTGGTACAACTCGCTTAGGCGGCTTGCATGGTACAGCAATATCGAGGAAGTCAATGTAGCAAACACAACGTGCTTGTGGTTGTGTTGGGGCTTGGAAAGCGGTTCGGAACTCCGACCAAAAAATGAAGGAAAACGGAATCATATGCAAATCCGGTTCGTGGGTCGGCCGATCGTCGGCTATCAAACCGCACCCAAACTATGTACAGTCAAAGCTAAGAATAAATCCCCCAAGTACCAAAATCCAGTCAACGCCCCTTTAATTTTATACAAGACAAGCCCGCCAAAATTCAGTCCCAACGAAAATTTTATTTCTCCCATCCATTCCAACGCTCGAAATCCCCGGTGTCGAGGTCAAATAAATCCAACATCCGTCCAACACTTTGGTCAATGAGGTCCTCGATACTTGCGGCCTTGATGTAGAACGCAGGCACCGGGGGGAAGATGACAGCCCCAGCTCGTGTAACCTCCAACATGTTTCGCAGATGGATCTCGCTTAATGGAGTCTCCCGCGCTACTAGCACCAATCGCCTGCGCTCCTTGAGCATCACATCTGCTGTCCTTGAGATGAGATCGTCGCAGAAGCCCGAGTGGATAGCAGCCAATGTTTTCATGCTGCACGGTACCACAATCATTCCGTCTGCGCGGAATGAGCCGCTGGACACTGGGGCAGCCATGTCATTGATGTTGTGTACGTAGTCGGCCAGCGCTTTCACGTTTGACGGGTGGTAGTCGGTCTCGTATTTGATCGTAGCCTCCGCCCACTTGCTCATCACCAGATGCGTCTCCACGTTGAGACGGCGCAGGGCAATTAGGACTTTGATGCCGAGCATGGCTCCAGTAGCACCCGTCATGGCCACTACAATGCGGCGGCGACGGGGCGCTGGACGGGCAACGGCCACGTGATCATTATCGATGGGCATTTCGCCGGTGGGAGGAGATGCACGACCGGAGTTTGGGGTAGTAGTACCGGACAGAAGTGCGTGGAACATATGTGTTGATGCGGAATATGTAGTGTTGTAGTAGGCACAATTGCGTAGATTGAATGTTCCCGTTATGGGGTGACTTGTCTGGATGGATGGATGGCAATGATAGCTGTCAGGAAGTTGAGCTGTCAAGTATATATATATATAGTCCAGTGGCAACCAGGTAGCTACAGTAAATCATTGAGATGAAAGCTTTTTTGGTGGGTTCGATTTCTTCGAACCCTTTCCTGCCTTGCGGTCAATCTCGGTGTGGCCCTGTTTTGCCATTGAGTCCGAGATCTCCGAGCCACCGAGGGGCCGTTCCCGAGGGACGGCATAACGTCATGGATGGCTCAAAGAAAACCCAGCTCTTTGGATAAGTCAAACATGGGTACTGCGACGGTTAGCTCGGTCAATGATACTCGGCAATCTCGGCATACCATTCATGATAGAGTCAAGATAGCTGGCTGGTGAGAAGTCTTGACCGAAGTCGTCCGGGATCCCGTTCGGCATACTGCAAAATCAGCACCCACCACACAGCTCCACATATCAGACAATAGTGGGCGCACATACCCATAGACAGGAAAGAATGGCTGGGGCTGTTCCGCGCGTTCTGTCCCAACATTTGCTTCCCCCTTTTCACGTTCAACTGCCGTTCGAACCGCATTGCGCAGAGTGATTAACGCCCGTATATGCCGTTCCGATAGCCATTGCCCGTTCTCCGATGTTGTGTTCTCCACTGTGCCCACTGAACCTGCGGCAGAGAAGACCTCAATCACCTTTTGCTGTAAATCACGGCACTCGGGATCATTTCGGGTCTCCTCCCAAATGCAGAGAAGTAAAGTGGAACTTAGAACTGTGTGCACCATTGACCAGGTTCGGAGGGGGACAGCACTAAGAGCCTGAAAATCCAAAAAGGCCCTAGAAGCGTCGATCAGGCTCATTTTGGCGCGGGTGCGCAAAATATCATAGGACGCGTCTTGCATAACAGTGCGCTTCAGCGCTGGACGTGTCAAGACGGAAATGGCTAGAGACATGTGCATTCGCAAAGCCAGGTGCTCCAGGTTGTGTTGGAGGCTTTTGCATTCCTGGCGGTCACGCAAATGTGGCTGAGTGCGTTGGTTGAGGCTATCAATCGTGGCCAAAATGTCAAGCTGTCGCGCATTTTCCGGTATTTCGGGACCATCTGTTGTGATCATGTTCAACGCAATTTGGCATAGAAAATACATGGCTTCCGTAAAAGAAAGTTCGTTGCTGGAGAGAATCGAATAATCTGGAGCCCACCCAGTCATGGAGACTACACGAGGCCGGTCGTAACATAAACAGAGCAGGCAATCTTGCCAAACAACAGTGTACCTGTAACTGCGTCAGCTTGGATCGCTATCTGTAGCATTGCTTATGTACCATAGCTTTCGTGCTTTGTATTTGACATGGTCCGGTAGGTGTGCTACACTCTTTTCGGTGTGAAGACCCAATGTCTGTGCAAGACGGACTGTTGTCCCTAACAAAGCCCATGCTGCATCAGACTGGCCATTGTTTTGCAGAGTATTCCCTATAATCAAGAGTGCTTGTATGATGTCCATCGTCGGACGGAAGAGAAAGTTGGCTAGTCGAAGAGCCTGAAAGGATCGTTTGGCTTCTTCTTGTTAGTTCATCATGCATAGACAATCATCCTGGGTGACGTACCAAAATCCTGGTATAGCTCGGTCCTTTGCATGTAATCCAGGTCAGAATAATGTGCACCAGAAGCCAAGGCCGCAAGTAGCAGGCTAATCATCCCGACAGACCGATCAGTGGCCCAACGTTCACAAATCTGTGAAGTGTTCTGCAGCTCTCCTGCTGCAAGAGCATTGAGGTATGAACACACATCCTGCTCGAATCTCTCGATGTCAAGTATGATAGGGTTGAAAGGGTGGGCTGATATTCTATAGAAATGAAAGAACCTGCCCTCTGTTAGTGGTTGCTGTGATCAACAACAAGGTGTGCTTACTTCAAGAGTTCCGTTCGCTGTGGGATGATTCGTAGAAGCTCCCTCCACCGGTCCTGAGGCGTTCGGAAGTCCATAAACGGATAGCTACCGTAAGTATTTTGCAGGCCTAGAACAGAGCCCACCTCACGGGTCATGGAGCCATTGGTATCTTGCGTGCGATTACGCAAATAAGATAATACCGAGTTGTCGCCCGAGTAGACAATGTCATTATCGGGACCATCGGAAGATGGGATACGAGTATTATAGTACTGCCTTGTCTCCGTCTGAACCTCTGGTAAACTGCGTGTTGAGGGCAGAGTTTGTGGCTCGGCATCGAGTCCCTGTTCAGCGACTGATGTCTGGTTTGGTCCGCGAGGAGCAGCCGAGGAACGTCTTTGGCTGGTATTACGGGACTTTTTAGACCCAGAGGAATCTTGATCATACACACATATTTGGGGATGGCCCCGTCGACGGCATGTTCGACAGGGCTGAGTGCTGTCGCATTTCACCTTGCGCTGGCGGCAAGGATAACACGCTCGAGCCTCGCGCTGATTGCGTTTCTGTTGCAGCACGCGGTCGATCTCTTCGCGATTTATCGGAGTGCCCATAATTCTACTACCCCTGTGTCGGCACCTCAAGAGTGCATATTTTCCGGAAGGATTTTGCGGAATTATATTGCTTCTTTCTCCGGGGTATTAGTCGATATAGTCGCGGTGGTCGCGCAAAGCGTCGAAGTGGCGGATCTGATCGGCACCTCGGTTCCGAGATGAGTCAGCAATTGGTATAAAGCCAATTCGAAGTACAAACTCAATTAGAATGGTAATGTGGATGGAAAACAAACTAACAGACTGGGGATGGCCTACTGCGCATAAACTCAAGACTGTGGGGTGAAAGATCTTTTGCACGCTGGCATTTAAAGGATGGTGATCGAATATATATATTTGAAGATGTAGCCGACGTGGGAGATGATAGATAGTACTGTCAGTAGTACTGATGCACTAGCCCACAAGTGTTACTTAATTAGTGTAGAATGATTTACCTCTTGTAGTCCCACCCACTAAAATTCGTCGCTTATAATTATCCATAAATTTTGAATATGACTAGATGTTATGTCAACTCTCTATCCGCTTACGAGCAGTAGCGGGGATGCTAGAATGAATGAGAAAAAAAAGTGAATAAATCTATGCTCTATGTGCTCTATGTCTATGTACCTGCCAGATCAATTCAAAATGGTATCAAGACAAATACGGTTAGTTGCTAAAACCCATCGTGGTCCAGTTGTCCAAAATCTTCTGCTTCAGATCCTCCGGATAAGATTCGTTGAAGTCAGCAGCCTCCCAGTTGCGACCAGTGGTGTATTCAGTTGGCATGAGAGCATCGGACACAATCTTTCCGCCGCGGTGGGCGGGCCCATTTCCGTGTCCCATGTACGGGATCAAGGGGAATCCACGAACGTCCTCAAACAAAGTCTCATCCATTCCAGGACGGCAGCGGGTGGAGAATGCCCAGAGTACATCCTTTCCTTCATAGACATCAATGTCGTCACCGACCAAAACCAGGCGATGAATAGTGTATCCGGCCTTGTGGTTGAAGACAACATCTCCCACTCTCTTGCGGAATTCCTCAGATGTCGTCTTCATCGCACGTAACTTCTCAGTATCAACCCGCAGAGCAACCCAGGTGACTTGTGACTCGAAAGGAGCGAAGGCATCAGTGATGGGAAGGTCATTCTGCTGGCAGAGCTTACGGATCTCCGCTGCAGCCAGAGAGCCGATCATGGTGTGCTATACAGTGTTAGTTCTTGGCTATAGACGGCACAACGGGGACTAAACTTACTGTTTCATCGGTCAAGCGGCCACAAGAAGACATCGGCATGATGGCGTTGTTGCGATAGGTGATCCGGTTGACCTTGTATGTGGCGCCAAGATGGGTATCCCCAGGGAAGATGTAACCATGCATCTCACCAAAAGGTCCTTCTGGACCAGTCTCGCTGATAGACAGAGTACCTTCGAGAACGATTTCCGAGGTAGCGGGGACGTATAGATCGTTCGTATCACATTTGACGAGCTCTAGGGAAGATCCCGTCATAGCGCCCACGTACCCAGCTTCGGTGACACCATCGGGGATGGGCATGCTGGAGGCCATAATGGCCGCGGGTGGGACACCAAAAGCCAAAGCCCAGGGAACATCACTCCGGCCCTCCTTCTTCCACATCTGGTGAATCTGCCAGATGTGCTGAGGAGGAATAACCAGGCCGGTCAGATGGTTCTTGTCATGGACCATCGCGCGGGCAATAGACCAGTTGGTCCAGGTTCCATCAGGAGACTGCACGATGTGCATACCATAGGTTTGGATGTATTTACCACCATCCGATTTGTGAATAAGAGGAACGGGGAGTTCGGTGAGGTCGAACTCGGAGTCATTTAAGCTGTTCTCCTTGCATGGCCCGGTGGGAACAATGGTGGGAGGAATGGGAGGCATTTCGCTGGCGGAGAGCATCTTGTCAAGAATCTCACGCATTGAAGCCGTAGGCGGGAGGGCTAGGTGACGAGCAAGGCGGCCGTAGCGATCAGCTGACGACTTCCTGAGAGAGCCAGGAGCCCCAAGTATACGGAAGAGGCCATTCTTCATGCCAATGAGGTTGTTGAAGAGAGGAGCCTTGTCGTTGGTCTCACATACTCGACGGGTGATAGCAGCAGCTTCGAGATTGGGGTCGACGGGGGTATCGATTTCCACAAGGTCGTTGTCGGCCTTGAGGGCTTCAACGAAGGAGCGGAAACAGAGGTGAGCGGGTTGTGCAGACATATTGATTGATGGTAATAGTGTGATGATGTTTTAGAGGGGTTGGACGGAAACTGTTCACAAAACAGCCTTCCCGTTCGAGGGCATTTATAGCCAGACATGATGATACTTGCCGGCTAAATCGGGTTTGCCCCAAAGCTCTGACAGTAGCCTCATGATCTGGAACTTTCGCATCTAGACTTGGTTCGGTGTTCGGGATCGGGACTCGGGACTCGGTACCTCGCCATGTGGATATGTTTTTTTGCAGGGATTAGCAGTACGGATCAACCGAGGTGATGAACGTTGAATTATGTGCCCCACAGTGTTTTAAGGGATGCATCATGCGACCCGGAAGCAAGATTTAGGAGAGTAGTGGTCGATCAAATTGCTTGTAGCTGTGTGTATGGCTGCATTAGGGGTGTTGCTGTCGGGTTCGGAATCACCCTTTTCCCGGGCAGCACAGGCTGGTTTATATCTCCAACTGCATGCATAATACCTAGTTCGTAACATGCGTATAAAAGTATGTGTGAGACTTTTGCTTCGTCTCCATGTCACAGCTCTTCGGATAATTATCAAAAAATGGCAGAAGTGAAGTTATCATTAATTGTGTGTGTTTCCACGCCGAGCTCAAGCAGAAGCTCAGAGACTGCTTGATTGAAACGGCGTTGATCATTCAGTTTCCTCACTGCAAAAAAAGGGAGCACGACGGATTATGCTTTATAAGACTTTTGCTTGAATGTTTTGACTTGACATTGACAAGTCAATATTGCTGGGGTGAACATGGGACCAATAGACAACTCGATACAAATCAGGAGGGAGAACAGTTCAATACATCCTAAACTGTATCTGTACAGGAGACGACTAAGAGGTTGATTCTTGCCTTTTCATGTGAATGAGGAAACTCGGCCAGCTCAATCTGGTTTCTTTGTGTACTATTTACTTATACTTTTGCCTTCACTGACTATTCACGCGTACCTGTACCTCGCTTTCATCCGATTTTGTGCTCAACTCTTTCTCATCCCTTCCTCATACATCTGTCTACCACTGGCGGCAAATCCCTTCACAAAATGTCATCTTCAAGCGAGGATGCAAGGCCACGGGGGCCGACTAAGGTCATCTCAGAGTAAGCTTATCTCATATCCTTATTAACAGCTTCTCACGTTTAGCAGCCTCTTCCTAAGCTCTACGTGGAGCGACTTGTCCATCGTTTGTGGAGATGTTGTCTTCCCGGCTCATAAATGCGTCGTGTGTCCCCAGTCCGGTTACTTTTCTCGCGCGTGTAATAGCAGCTTCATAGTAAGTCACTGCTATATATCAATTTAACATTGAATGTGAACCAAAGTAACACATGCACGTCATACTCAGGAGTCTTCTGGAAAGATTGTGATAGAGGATCTCGAGCCCATCTATCTCGAGAAGACGCTGCAGTTTCTCTATAAGGGGTTTTACACCAGATTGAGCGACGTGAACACATCTCCCGCAGTAGAATTTGGTCATCCCAGTCCCATCCCTAGTCCGATTGTTCGAAGCCTCCCGTATACTACCTTGTCATCCGTGGAAAATGGCGGGCTTTCGAAATTCCATGTTCATATGTATGAGCAAGGAGAATATTTTCAGATTCACGATCTCAAAGAGAAGGCAAAAGAGCACTTCAAAGAGAGCTTCCTGCGTGACTTAGACAGACTGTTCTTCCGTTCGACTGTGAACGAGGTCTACTGTTCGACGATCGAGACCGATCGCGGGCTTCGAGATATTGTCATTGAGACCGTCCTGAATGATCTGCCAACGCTGATTGATGGCACCTCAACCTATCTCGACAAAGAAGATTTGCAAGAGATGCCTGAGTTTACGGTTGACCTGTGCATGGCCAGCCTTGTTCAGAATGCGTACCTCATGGGCATCATCTCGGAATGTACACAATAATCGAGGCGGTAAGTTGGTCTTCTTTCCTTTCCTGCACGGGCTATGAGGAACAGGGATAGGTGGAGACAACGAACTGATTCTGATACCGAAGAGTGACATGCAGATCAACGAGCTACCCGAATATTGCCTATAAGTTGCATCATTCTAGCCCTGACAGACGAGGATCCCGCGGGCTGCAACTATAACTATATTCCTCCACACCATTTGGCCTATACTTTAAATCAAACTAGCGACCCGTACGAATCTCAATCCGGCCTTGCAAGACCATGGATAAAGAACTGCTTCAAAGAGACTCAAATGGTAAAGCAGCTGCAATCATGCATCCTCAACGTTAAAGTGTGCAATGGGCGATTCCAGGGAAGTGCCGTGGACAATAGGGTTTATGGTTAATGACATGACGACTAAGCCAAGGAACTTAACTCGCTTTTGACAAACTGTCTCACTGTCGGTATAAGGTTTAGTGCTTATATGTTTGCACTTGGGTAATGGCTGCACTTCTTTGGCCTGATCCGGATGGAGTTCCGAGGTCTGAGAAGAACAAAGCTGTATGAGCCGAGATAAACAGATAATAGATTGCATCGAACGTCAGAATAGCGTTTGCTCTTTCAATAAACTCTCTTGTCTACTGTTATAGCTGAAACTCCCAACAGAGCCATCTATACAGTATGTATTCATTCTCATGGATAGCTACGGTGACTTATCTGTCATACTGTTCAACCACTTCTCTCTCTGCTCTCTCCGTTCAAATCTTACATTTGTTCGTCAACCACAGTTGGAGATGAACCTTACTTCAAGCATCACGGGATATGCCAATAGCCACAATCATGCTTCAACACTGTCCTCCTTATGATGCCAATCGACTGAGTTATATATAACCAACGTGCTTCTCTTCTGAAACATCATTCCGTCCCAGGGTTCAGTCTGATTCCTGCTCTCTTCAAGTTCCCACTGCTCCAAGAAGCATAGACCCGTGCTCTCCAGGCTCATAGTACACAATGCTGTGCTACTATATCTCCTTTTTCAGAAGCCTTTGGCCCCTGGTGACTAGGGAAGACTTCGACGATGCGCGAGAAGTCGCCCGATACATGATTTACCACTACAATGAGGTCAATAAAGGGTTTGGTAGACCTCTCAGACTCTATGACAAGAAACAAGGAGTCGACCCCCAAAACTGGACCCTGGACATCAACCCAATTAATTCTATGTTTGAACCGAGGACGGATGCTTTCTGTAAGTTGATCTCCACCTACCCTCTCATATCCCCAGAGTCTAACCCCAACCAGGGAGAACCAAAATTACAAGCCCCATCATGAGTGACGATGATGCTTGGGAATACATGTCATACTTCTTGGAGACAATTGATAGAATGTTCAAAGTGGAGAGCGACAACATGGACACGCTGCAAATCTACTTCATGCCAGCAAAGGGCAGGTGGACGTTGCAGGAACTCAAAGGCGTTGTTCGTGCCATCATCCATTTCAAGGACGTTATCGAGGACTTCGTGGACCCATACTTACACACTGCGGATCGTGACTGTGAGGCAACAAAGGTGATGGATCCAAAAGTCAAAGAGGCCCTGATCAATGGCTTGGAACTAGCCACTGACTTCGATCAACTCAATCAGTTCTTGAGCTCGTCTTCTGGCCTGGAAAACTTCCGCAACTGGAAGTTCTGGCAGTGGCCTGCTTCCGAGTCCAATACTCTGGTGTTTGTACGAGAATACCTCAAGATCCATCGCGATGAGGATATCAAGAATTGGTATCTTTTCGTTGATACGTTTGTCCGTGCAGGTATGAATGCACACAGTCCAATCATTTACAATTTTGATACAGATATGGAGGGCCTGCAGCAGTTCTTGTTGCGTTACAATGAGGACACTGATATTAATTGGCTGTGTGCCTTTACGGCTCCGCCACCGTTGGACATGGTTTTGAGTAGTCAGGCGTTGACCGATACCAAGGGGAATGGTAGACGCTGAGAACTACTACTGGATCGTTCCGAACATGAATATTTGTTTGAGTTAAAATGCAATTGCGTTACATGAAGTTTCAGTACCTCCGTAGTAGACTTTTTCTAAAACGTATTTAGCAAACTGCCGTCACCAGTCTCCATACACCGAACAACCTCTTCTTCCCATTGAAAACCCATAATTGTCCACATACACGCAAGCACTATTCTCATTATGAACTCAATTATTACCATGTCAATGCAAACAGCAATGATGTGCACCCGATCTCGGCAGTCGGACATCTCGGGGATCCCCCATCGCCCCCCAGCCCCCCCACAATTCTCGGAACCCGAGTCAGGCCCTATCAGCCGTACAAAGTACCAGCTCCTTTGCCGTGCCGTCTTCCCGGGGTACCCTTGTAGATGATATAAATTGCGCGCCAGATCACACCTTGCAATCAAAGCACTACAGAAACATAACTGCAATCCAAGCCAGATAAGAAAAAATCTTCAAAGAAACTCAAAGAAAATGTTCTACCAACCCGGAAAAACCGACCACGGCCTGCCTCATGATCCATTCAAGGTAACTTGATTCCCCAACTCCAACTCCAATGATCATTCCAATGATCTACCCCGCATATGCAACTTCCCCCCTCACAATCACCAGTACCCTCTCACACCACACCACCACCACCAGAACTTCTCCTGTTGTCACAAATCAACTACTAACAATAAATAAATCTAGGCATGCGTCGTCCCCCGCCCCATCGGCTGGATCAGCACAACCTCTCCCACCGGAGCCCCCAACCTCGCGCCCTACAGCCAATTCACAAACCTAACCTTCGACCCGCCTTACGTTCTCTTCAGCAGCAACCAAACCGTAACCGGAGACCGAAAGGACACCGTCGTGAACGCTGAATCGACCGGCTCCTTTGTGTGGAACCTCGCGACCTGGGACCTGCGCGAAGCGATGAATATCACGGCGCAACAGTTTCCCTATGGAGTGAACGAGTTTGAGAAGGCAGGGCTGACTGCTGAGCCATCTACTGTTCTTCCGGTGGAGGTGCCTATGGTGAAGGAGTCGCCGGTGCGGTTTGAGTGTGTGTATCATTCTACGATGAGGTTGCCGGCGAACCCGCCTATGGGTACTGTGGATGTGGTTGTGGGACGAGTGGTCGGGGTGCATATTGATGAAGGGGTGCTTACGGATGGGATTCTGGATGTGAAGAAGACGAAGCCGATTGCTAGGTGTGGGTATTTTCAGTATGCGGTGGTGGAGGATACGTTTGAGATGGTGATTCCGGGGATGTCGAAGGATGTGCTTTATGGGTTGGAGGGGAGTGCGAGGATGAATGGGGAGAAGGCGAGGGAAATGGAGGCTAAGGAGGCGTGGAAGGAGAGGGGGTTGTTGTAGATGTGAATGTGGAACGAGTGTATATAGATGGAGTTGGATTCGTGATAAATGTAAATGCTCTGATGATAGTGTGTATAGGTTACCCCCAGATTCTGAATGGGATAGATGAATTGTAACATCCCGCGTCCAGCCAATCGCCTGTGATAGTCCGCACTGCTGTCTCGTTGCCGAACTCTAGTATCAGGCCCCCGTTGCTCTCGTTGCCTAGGTATACGGGCCATCCGACCGTCTCGCTGACGGTTGACGAGTCCTTGAGGAAGGCAAGCAGGTAGTCTTGCATCGTAGCGGAGGTGTCGACTTCCAGCTGTGAGATCTCGCCGACATCGAGATTGTATGTGCCGAAGATCATCAGCAGGTCAGTCCAGTGGAATGCTCCTAGCCACGGGACGGGACTGATGTTGGAGAAGTTGCCTGTCTATGTTAGCACGATCATGAGCATAGGAAGTAGGTGTGGGACATACCAGCCCAGTAGTAGCGATAAGTTTCGAGGCCAATCGACGCACGCAACGCAAGATCAGTCACTGCCAGACAGTCTGATTCGCCCTCTTCAATATTTACCGAAGTCGTGTTTGTGCTGGGGAATTCTCGTGCCGTGTCCGATCGAATTTCCGGCCCCGGGGCAACCTTGCGCTCAAGGTATCGCTGTCTTTCGTCGGAGAAAATGTATCGCTCATCGGCTGGTGTTGTTAGTAGAGATAGGCATAAAAGCTAGGTTGGAACATACGGATATAGTTCGTGAAAGCGATAGAAGGAGAGCTATTGTAGCGGTTAATGTACTCCTCAATCTGCACCCAGGAGATCCCGCGCATGCACTCCAGCTCGGCCTCGGCATCATCACCATAATTACACCCTAATCCCTTGGCCACGATGTCAAAGTCTTGGTACACGTCAGGCGTGGTGGAGAGGTTAAGTGTGGCAGATGCTCCTTGGGAGATGACGCCGAACTTGGCGGCAAGAGGCTCTTCTGGCCATGCGAGGGTGTACAGATGTGTCAGCAGGGCACCCTGTGACTGTCCCCATAGCTGCTTATCGTTAGCTTTAGTCATGTGAGGAGAGGCTTGTAGTCTAACCATGATATTCTCGGGGTTTCCACCGAATGCTTCGATATTCTCATACACCCATTCCACAGCAGCGCGCACGTCCATCAGCGTCAGCGACGTCTCATTCAACGCGCGCGACTTGGGATCTATGCATGTCAGATCGATCTACACAGCCAAAAGCTAAATACTTACTACCGAAAATGTTGACTCGATAATTGATGGTAACAACGATATGCTCCTGAGAGCGCGATACCCAAGCGGAGGGAAGCTGGGACGGGATGTTGATACCCCCCGTGATGCCACCACCTCCCGTGACAAACAGCGCAACTGGCAGCTTGGAGGTCTCATTGGCATACGATGGAGTCCACACCGCTAGAGACAGGCAATCCTCCGACGAGGACCATGCTGTGGATCCTTGGTTGAGCCTTTCGCCGACGGAGAGCAGCAGATTCTCCGGTTCGTATTCATTCCAGAAATCACTCTCTCCCGACACATACTGCGGACAGGCTGATCTTGAGTTAGTTGCACAGTCTCATACTTATCTGGAAGTCCACTTGCCTGGGCCGTAGAAGGTGGAATCGATCTTCTTGGTTGAGTTATCAAGCCGATGAGGAGGAAGCCATCTCAAATCCCCAACAGGAGGCTGGCCATGTCAGAAACAACACAAGATCCACACAATGAAGGCATTACCTTGGCATAAGGAACGCGCAAAAACTGCCGAACGTCCGGGTAAGTGTCATTCAGCATGCCAATGAACGTCCCTGTGCGTGTCTCCACGGTAAGATTGGACCAGTTGGACAGAGTCCGCGGTTGCTCCCACGTCAGGTTCGCATAGTAGGGCGCATAGGTGCCCAAGGCAGAGGCAGCTAGCCCGAGCAGTCCAAAAGCGACAGCCTGCACCATTATTCTATCGATTCGCCGTTGCTGTTGTCCCTTCTACAAGAGCATGGGATTTACGAGCCTTATATAGCCATAACGCGGGGTACCTTCGGCTTCCGGCTATACAAAAAATCTAGACAAATTCACCGTACGGCATGCACCTACATCATTTAGCTAGTTGGTAAACCCGAACAAAAAACTTCGATGGCATGATGTAGAGACCTCTGAGGGTATAGTATCTGCGCACAGGATGGAAGCTAAGGAAAAAGTGCCAACCACAGCCAAGTTTGTGGGGGAAAATCCGGGGTCCCACCCCCACGCTCCGCGTCTGGGCGTTGGACCAGCTTCGATTGGGAAACTAAGACCGAAGATGAAGCCATTTCAACCTGCACGGGTTTAAATCTACTTCAAGTATCGGACCACTGGTCTCCGTTGCTGGTCAAAATTTGTTGAGCTGATGATGCTGACTGGCATTGTGACAGTCATCGACCCCACTTTGGATGGTTGAAAGGTGTCGATTGGGATACAAAATCGGCCCATCCCGTGTACAAGTCCGGTCTGTATGACTTCACAATAACTTCATGATCCTCACATAGAACCAAGGTAACAAGAGGTAAGTTTTTATTCAGTCAGTGCTGACGAAGGGTATATATTGATAATCACTATTCACATCGGGCGAGAAACAGTCACCCCGGGCCGACAATATGTTTGTCACACAGAACTCCTTGGTCGAACTCTTAACCATATGACCCGATTCCTATGCGAACCAACGTTCTCCAAATCTATCCATTGTTCACTCATGGAGGTCCGGGCGGGCCGGGAGGAGGGGGAGGACCATCCGGCCCGTCGTCGCCGCAACAATCGCAGCAGCATTCGCAGCATTCAAAGCAGCAGACACCAGCGCAACTAAACTAGTTAGCACCATTCCCTCATTGGACGCAGAAGACTTACATTCCACAGCAGACTTCTCCTTCACCACCACCGCGGATCTGCAGCTGCATGGACTCTCCAGTGCGCTGGTCTTATTAGTACCTTGGCTGACCTTACGGATGACTTCGCATACCGGTTGCTCAGTGACAACGTGCTCCATGGAGGGACCGGACGGGCTAGCAGGCTGCTCCATCGTCAGGGTCTCAGGGTTCCATTTGCTTTCGGGCACGGCCTCGGAGGGCCTCAGCCACGACATTAAGCCACTGCCGAACATTTTGTGTCTTTGTCTCACAAGTACAGGACGTGCAGGTAGCAGGAGAAGGGACTATACGGGTAGGGGGCATTGCCCCTTAAAAGGAGCTCTCAAATGAAGCTACTTCGCCAGGGGCCACAAGGGACGAGCCGCCGTCGAGCTGACCCACCTGCGATTGGGGCTATAATATGGTATTCTCGAAGCGACGCTCTCGTAATTGGACCCTCAGTAATCCAGCTGCCTGTCTTTCACAGCTTCATCTTCAGCCGGGTTATCCGGGACGCATTTGACCTGTCGTCTCCTTCAGGTGTGGCTTAGCATCAGGATGCGATAGGTGCTTCGTGACGCCATTGGCTTCTTTTTATTCCCGGCGCATAGATGCGATAGTACCTGGGACAGTAATTGGACGCCACTTGCAGCACATTTGATTCCTGAAACGAATTCGCCGTTGGCAAGCGTTACGAAAATGATGTGTCGTGTCCAGGCACGAAGGATGGGGCCGGAAGTCAGGAGTAGATGATTATTTGCACCGGTTGACTTGGCACGACCGATCGCCGATGAGAGCGCAGTGATGACGGGTGGCTTAGCAGCACAGCGAGTCACTTGACATTATCAATCATTGGAACTTAGTTTACGCCAGTATAGAACAATGCCTAACTAGTTCGCATTATTACCATGCTTCCTTCTGCCAGCATCGCATTGCGCAAAGAAGGATTGGCGGTTGGTCCCACCGGAAAAAGACTCTGCAGCAAACGCGGACTAACCATGGACCACATCCCCTAGGCAGAAAGATTCGCAGACAGGTCCCCTCACCACGCTGGATAGATGAAGCCAGGCATAGAGGCTAATAACAGTTCGGGTCAAGTAATTCGGATGATGTCAGGCAAGTAGAAAGACTGCCAGCGATTGCAAATGACTCGCAAATGCTGAGAATGGATTTGTGCGCGGAAGAATAAGAAAAAACCAAGCCAGCCAAGCTTTTTTCGCCCAACACCGCCGACGTCACCCGGAGACTCACTTTTGAACTCTCCGCGATCTGGGGATGCGCAAGCCGTGGATTGGCCAAGAGATCGGCTCCGAGATAGCCTCAGTGGCAAAAGATCTTTTAATAAAATCTCATGAGGCCGCAATGTTTGAGGGTTGATCCGATTTTCTCATCCGCGCACCCTTCACCAACACGATGCTCGCGGTCGCATATCTTTGGATTCTCCTGCTGCTGCGGGGAATCCACGTGGGCGCCAAGAGCACGACAAGCACGAGGGAAGCCGAAGTCACCACCATCACCGATGATACCTCTACAGCATCAGCATCGTCCACTCATTCAGGAACCGACAGTGATTCTTTCAGCGTCGTGACCACCGAAACTGCCGTCGCTGTTCCTACCGGCAGTTATCTCAGCTACACAACTACGATTACGGTCGGGGATAGCGTCTCCCAAACGACCTTCACCACCACCACCGCGGCCAATACAACCATTTCTACTAACGGCACCACCACTGCCACCACAACTACGGATACAAATGTCGTCGTCACCGGCACGCGAAACTCCAGTAGCACTGCGACGTCCACTGCGACCACGCCAGCCAACTCGCAGCCTTGCAATGGCTACACCGAGTTCTGCAGCCGACAATACTCGAATATTACCATGGTCACGGCACACAACAGTCCCTTCGTGAAAAAGAACAATATTGCAGCAAATCAGATGTACAATGTGAAGACTCAGCTTGAGGACGGAGTGCGCATGCGTAAGTCTTCTTTTCAACATTAGGTATTTACTACTAACATTAGTGCAGTATCTTTCGAAGCCCATTATTACGAAGATGACATCTACCTCTGCCACACCTCCTGCGACCTCCTGAACATGGGCACCCTAGAAGACTACCTCACAACTGTGACCGACTGGATAAAGGACAACCCATACGACGTCGTCACTATCCTGATCGTCAACTCCGACTACGTCTCCCCCTGGAACTTTACCGCTCCCATCGAGAACTCCGGTCTTGTCGACTACGTCTACGAGCCGTGGAAAATACCTATGAGCCTGGACGACTGGCCTACACTATCCGAGATGATCTTAGACGGTAAACGCGCTGTCGTCTTCATGGACTACCAGGCCAACCAGACTGCTATTCCGTACATTCTGGACGAATTCACGCAAATGTGGGAGACGCCGTTCTCGCCGCTGAACACCTCCTTCCCTTGCACTGTGCAGCGGCCTCCTGGAATTACAGCTGCGCAGGCAGAGGAGCGGATGTATATGATCAACCATAATCTGAACCTTGAGATTGTGTTTGAGGGGATCGATATTCTGGTGCCGGATTCCGCTCAGATCAATGAGACGAACGCAGTGTCGGGATATGGGAGTCTAGGACTGATGGCGAACAATTGTCGAGGTGAGTCAACACCGCCAGCTTAGCATACGCAAGAAAGAATAACATGCTAATGTTTATTAATAATAGCAAAATGGGACCGTCCCCCCAACTTCCTCCTCGTCGATTACTACAATGACGGCAACTTTCAGGGGTCCGTTTTCGAAGTCGCAGCTCAAATGAACAACGTCACGTACAATGGTAAATGTTGTGGCGGGTCGAGCAGTGCGGCGTCGAGAATTGTTGATGTTTCATATACTTGGCTTTCTGCATTTTTTGCCATGGGTGTTGGTTTGTTTACTTTGTTTGGGTTATGATCAGATATTATATACCGTTGGAATTGACTGATGTAGATAGCATATTATACCATTTTATTGTAATTAGTTGCTTATGTGACAATTGATCCTTCACAAATTAGAAAAAAAAAAAAAAAAAAAAGCTCATTATGTATATCCCAGGACCGCCAAATGCGGTATATCCAGGCGAAACAAAGTTTAGAGAATAAATGGGTTTCCAATCAATCATTCCAGGGTTGTTTCTTCTTCCGCCACCAACTCAATACAATATCATCAGTGCAACAAACATTTGATTCCGCCAGCTAACTGCGGGTGCTCTGTAGCGTTGTGCAACTCAAGTGGTATCGGATATAGAATTCCATATTAGAAATCATTATGAGCTCATACTCCTGTGTATGTTCTCGGTGTCTGCGCCAGAGGTGAATGAGAGACACATCGACCGAACTGACGATGCGTTCTCTGACCCAACATTATCGTACTGTTGTGCTTATTAGTGTCCACACAAGGGACGTTCAATCTAGCATGTGGTAGAAATATAGTGGTTTATCTTCGCCCATTTTTTTTCATGTCTCGATTTCCTATCATTCGTTTGCTACGCCACCATCGAGTAAACAAGGAAAAATCTTTCGTATATTCTCAAGCTTATAAGCAAGATAACTGGCCGTTGGGACTTTGTAGTCAGATGCACATGGTCTATAGGCTGCTATTTGTCGTGTTGTATCTAATCCATGGCCATGGAGGCTAAATAGAGATTTCTTAATTTATTGCACAGAGTACCCGATGCGACATGGTTAAATGTACTGAACGGTATACCGCATCACTTCAGATGGCGTGTCTGCCAGAGAGTGTGGTATATTCAACCATGGTAGTTCTTAGCATTGTAGAAAGCGTCGTTCTTGGATAAATGTGGATAGTCCTTATAGTCTAATCGTATATATCATGTATTTGTCCTTTGACTAATGACAATGAATAGATTCTCTAATCTCGGTGTTGAATTTTAATATCAAATTCAGAGCATCCATATGTGATTGCTTTCATCTTTCTAGACACTCGTAGTGGGGAAGAATACGAAATGAGATTGGAGGAGGGCCGGTGGATGATTTTATAGAGCTGGAGAATGATCTAGTGAAGGAACTTCATCAGAGCAAGGAATATCGATTGGTATACATTGAATAGTTTGACTGGACATGCATAGAATGAATTGCCTCAATGCTTATCTACATGTCACCCCATATGCACTACACTACGGACTAATTCGCCCACTTCATTAATCCGATCGCTAATGGGCTGGATAATTATACACCCCTCTACAGGGTACTGACAGTTCTACCGTCAAATGGCAGGTCCGGACCGTTGAGGGATCTTCACGATGCATCGAGCTTCGGCTACATAGAATCTGAGAGGGGTGTGATCAGGTGCGAACAGAGATGGAGACATTTCCACGTTGAGGCTCGTTGCACACTGCTACTTTGTGGATAGTCTAGAACGTGTCTCACCCCACAGGCCAGATTGGGTTGGGAAAGCACCCGTGGTCGGCAATGATCATCGGTTGGTATGCGGGGAAGCAAGGAGCTACCCCATATTTTTTTACCTCATCATCTCGCTTATGTTCTGCATTTCAATTTTTTTGCCTCCATCCTCTGGACCGTTTAAAGATTAGTACGGTCAGACCAACAATAACAATTCCTTTTCAGCGTGACCAAAAGATGGCAGACGTAGGGAGTGTACGCTGTCTTAGACAGCATTAAATTTTCACTGGCACATGATCGCTTGGCCGGACGACCCCTCCAGCGTATCATCTCATGGAAGGATGTTACCAAGAACTACAGTGGCGGGAACAGGTACATGTCCACGTTTATGGCTAGCATCTTCCGTCGGGATCCCGTTCTTACTTTTTCCTTCTTTGGCTCCTTTGAGGTTAAAGTCCGAGATGGTGTAACAACGGCCCTCCATGAGTCAAGGCAAGGGACTGTCGGGCTGCTCCGATAGGATCGCGTGGTGGTATCATGACCCTGAAATCCTAATCTTGAGGACTGGTTCAGGGTCAACTCCCTCAAGTCATCATTGGTGCCCCCGGTCGAGCCAAGCTGTGAGGTTGCACCCCAGCCTGCCAGCCAAGCCCAACATTCCGCCAGTGCCACATTAACAGCTTTTTGTCCCAAGACCTGCCAAGCCACCCCAAATTTCACGCACCAATCCACTTGTTCTGCCGGGCTTATCGCGGTGGCCATTAGGGAGACTGCCCAGCTCGAGCTGAGACAAATGCCTCGGCCTCGTTGGCTGACATCCCGGAAAACATGACCGAGTGAGTGCCCGGGTCACTGAGGAGACATGAATAATTGCGCTTTGTCGCACAACCGGTGATAAGGCAGAATCTTGGCACCATATGGCGTGGAGGAACCCTCACATCCCCCGACTGTGTCGAGGGTGGCCAGCCGATAGGCTCTTCCACCCAAACTCAGCTTGCACTCACTTCCTTCCATGATTGGAGGTGGCACAAAACAAGCGATAATGGTCGGTCACCTCGCGCTCAGACGGGACTTCTCCTTCACTGCACAACCGATCGGCTGTCCAACCTTGGCCTGTCCATTTTAAAGTCGTCCATTCCCCTGGACCTCCTACCCCTCCCAACCGCATTCTATCGTTTCCTCTTCCCTCTGCGCGTCTGTCCCTGCTGCGCCCATCATGAACCCCTCAGACACTGCTGAAGTGGCAGAGATTGCGAAGTCTGCAGCCTTTGCTCATGATGCGCATCCAGACGAGAAGAGGGATCGAATCTCAGCTGAGCTACGTCCCGCCACCTCACCTGAGATCGAGGTGGTTCGTGAAACCGCTGAGAAAGGTGGGTTCAGTTCGTCGGCCGCATATGAAGACGATGCAGCTCTACAGAAAGACTTCCCTTCTCCGGATGAGCTGAGGACTCTACGTCGCGTCTCCGGCAAGATCCCCTGGACAGCCTATACTGTAGCCTTTGTGGAATTGTGCGAGCGCTTTTCCTATTATGGAACTACAGCAGTTTGTACGTCCGTCACTACCCCGCTCTATTCCCTGCTAATATTGACAGTCGTCAACTTCATCCAACGTCCGCTTCCTGAAGGTTCATCAACCGGTGCGACTCATGGTCTAGACAATCTGGTACCCGGTGCTTTGGGCATGGGACAGCAAGCTTCCACTGGACTGACCTTATGTAAGTTGCTACAAATGCAGAATGACCATCTGCTGACCATCAGTCAATTCTTTCTGGTCTTATATCATGCCCCTCATGGGCGCCTTCATGGCCGACCAGTACTGGGGTCGCTTCCGCACCATCATGTTCTCGATCGGAGTCGCTTTGCTGGGACATACAATCCTCGTCATCTCAGCCATCCCGCCGGTTATCAATAATCCACACGGTGCAATTGCTTGCTTCTCAATCGGTCTGGTTATCATGGGAGTGGGAACTGGTGGTTTCAAGTGAGCTCGTTATCACTTCCATAGTGGCCATTATCTAACTGGATTAGGTCAAATATCTCACCATTGATCGCGGAGCAATATCGGGAGAGCAGGCCGTACATCAAGACCCTCCCCTCAGGAGAACGCGTCATTGTCGACCATGCTGCCACCATCGCGCGCATCTACCTGTATTTCTACATGATGATTAACATCGGCTCCATCCTAGGACAAGTCAGCATGGTGTATGCGGAGCGCTACGTTGGCTTCTGGCTCTCATATCTCCTGCCCACCATCATGTTCACTTTCTGCCCTACAGTGTTGTTCATCTGCCGCAACAAGTACTATCTGGTCAAGCCAACTGGGTCTGTGTACCTGCAGGCTTTCAGGCTGTGGAAGCTGGCGATGGAGGGGCGCTGGTCGCTGAATCCTGCAAAGATGTAAGTGTCTCCCTATACACACTCAACCTTGTTCTAATACATCTTAGGTTCACAAAGAACCCTACCCCCTTTTGGGATTCGGTCAAACCCAGTGCTTTGGGTGCCAGTCGTCCCCAATGGATGACCTTCGATGATGAATGGGTAGATGAGGTAGCTCGTGGTCTGAAAGCATGCAAGGTGTTTCTGTGGTATCCTTTGTATTGTACGTTCATCACCCCCTGGTCTCTCTTTGCAGCTCATGCTAACAATCCAGGGCTGGCCTACAACCAAATGTTGAACAACCTGACCTCTCAGGCGGCCACCATGCGTCTAGGCGGTGTCCCCAACGACATCATCAACAACCTCAACCCGCTCTCACTCATCATCTTCATCCCCATCATGGACCAGCTAGTATACCCATTCCTCCGAAAAGTCGGCATTCAATTTACCCCTCTGAAGCGCATCACAGCTGGCTTCATCGCCGCCGGTTTATCCATGATCGCCGCCACCGTCACCCAATACTACATCTACCAGAAAGGTGAATGCGGAAAACAAGCCAACTACTGCCTGGATGAATACAACTCGCACTCGCCCATATCCGTTTGGGTTCAAGCGCTGGTCTACATCCTAGGCGGCATTTCCGAGATCTTCGCATCCGTAACCTCACTCGAATACGCCTTCACCAAAGCACCGCGCAACATGCGCTCCCTCGTGCAAGCCGTGGCTTTATTCATGAACGCATTCTCGTCTGCCATCGGACAAGCACTCGTGGGACTATCGAATGACCCGCTCCTGGTGTGGAACTATGCTGTCGTAGCGATTCTGGCATTTGTAGGCGCTGCAGGATTCTGGTTGACGAACTATAAGCTCGATCGTCAAGAGGATGAGTTGAACCATCTGCCACAGAGTCACTATGAAGGTCGCCCAGAGGGACATGCTGATGAAGAGCAGCGATAGGATGCGTGCTGCTTGAAAGAAGAATTCACGTACTAGGTAGTTAACACATAATTCAAATCCAGTATATGTTTACGACCACTCATATGAATTAATACTATATTTTCGTTCATATCCTCCTTCTAAAAACCTCCATCTCGATTCACATCCGCCTTATCTATGCCTACGAGATGCATTTACAGATATTACACACTACGCAAGGAGCATATTAAGCGTCGCACAAGCAGTCAATTAGGTGTCAGGCAAGTAAGTGAAAAAGCAAACTAATAGAGGGAATCAACCAAAGCCAAGTAAATCCAAAACAGGAAAATCACAACATGAGCCAATCATCAGATAATCCAATCCATGCAAACATGATCATTACAATTCCTCCTCCGGCTCAACAACAGGGCTACCCTGGGTATCAATAATATCCCAAGACTGCAAGTCCAAGTTCAACACATCGTCGTTGCTCGAAGCTTTGCCAGAGCCAAACGCCTTCAGGTTCCACTTCTCGACTCCCTCAACTCCTTTCAGGTCCTCGAGGTATGCTGCGAACACATCACGGTTCATACGCACGTAGTCCTGGTAGTCACCGGGCCAGTCACCCAGACGCTCAACGGCCAGCTTGAAGAGCTGCAGGTGCTGGCGAACACGCTGGGCCTCGGGAACAGTATCAGGGGTGCTGTCCTGCGCATCGCCGTACATAGAGCCATCGATGCTCAGACTGGCCTCAAGGTTGTCCTCGTAGTCAGCATAGTAGGGGTCGCTGAAGGCACGAAGAATGCTCTCATGCACCTGGGCGCACTTCTTGTAGTAGCGGTTGGCTAGCTCCTTGTGGTTCTGGTGGCTGGTAGCCACCTTAGTATACAACTGCGTCAGCAGAGTCGACATCTCCAGAGTGCTGGGGTGACGAGGTCCGTGCACGCGGCGGCAGTTGTAGGTGATGTCCTCGGCCAGACGGATAGCGTCCTTGTACTTGCCGATCTGGAAGCGAGCAATGATGAGACGGTGGCCGAGAGAAAGGGTGTAGGATGGCCAGTTGCGGTGCGCCTCGCGGCTATCCCACAGGATGGTGAGGAGCCATGCCAGGTTGCCATAGTCCTTCAGGTCTCCAAGCAATCCGATCAACTTACTAAGCTGCTCGAAGTTGACGCCGCCCATGTCGAGCTTCAGACCCTTGATGACGGTGAGCGCTTCCTTGATGATAACGGAAGAGACACCCAGCATCTTCTGGCGAGAGGCTTCATCAGGGCGAGCGACAAGGTCACGACCCGCAATAGTCATACCAAGAGCGAAGATGAACTTGACGATCCCGACAGAGCGGTAGACCTCCTGGTGGGACTTGATGTATTGGAACGAGGCAAGGGCAAGATCGCAAGCGCTGCCCCATCTCTGGCTCTTCAGCAGCTGGTCCACGTAGTCGTTGCTAGTGATACCGATGGAACGGATGAAGTCATCCGAGCGGTGGGTGCTGAAGTGACGCAGGATGGTCTCAGCGAAGATGCGTACCTGTGCAGGCTCGGTCAGCTTCACCCGCTTGCCCTCGGTAGCGACGAAGTAGTCCACGAATTCATCAAAAACGCGGGCCGCAGCGGTCTGACGGTTGTTGGACAACAGGAAGTGGTACAGGCGCGCGGTAGACACAGAGACTGTGTGAATGGAGCTCGTCTTGGACTTGGTCAGGCTTCTGAATTCTTCGAAGTAAACATATTCGGTCGTCAGAGCGGCCAGGATCTCGGTGATCGTAACCGATGTGCTACGGCGCAGACTGTACTCAAGCTGTGCCAGGAAACTGAGGCTCTGACGCTCCTTCGAAGCAAGGTCGAACTGCACGGACTTGACGTTGGAGGTATCCTTCATGACAATCTGACGGTAGATCTCTTGAGTAAGCTCGGTCGCCTTCTGGATCTGGTTGGACGCAATGTAGCTGGACGCGATAGTGGAAGCAGCGGCAATCAGGCGGGTGGTAGAAGTCTCAGACTTCAAAATTTCCACGGTAGCTTGCTTGAGCTCGCTCAATACAGTCTCGGTTTCCTTGCGTTCGGCGTGGAAAGAGATCATCTGCTTCATCCGGGTGAGGGATTCCTCGTGGGCCCAACCGTGGGTTTTCCGCACGGTCGATGTGCGCTTCTTCAAGACCTTCAGAGCGCGGTCGGCCTGCTGCGTAGTCACAGACTCCGCATTCTCCGTCACGAGAGCTGCCTGCTCTTCATAAATAGCGTCCAGGGTATTGGAGATCTCTCCAAGATCGATGTCTTGAGACTTTGTCGCAAGCAGCTCTTCGTAGATGGTGATGGCCTGGACCTCATACGACTTGGACTCCTGGCACAGCTTTGCGAGAGTCAGAGAGGCTTGCAGGCTGATGGTAGCAGTAACACCGAAAACTGCCTTGACCTTGGTCTGGTACTCAACAGTGACCTGGTGCAGGGCAGTAAACTCAGTGCGGACGCTGCGCAAGCAGTGAGTGTACCGGTTAAAGATTGTCTGCACGAAGGTCTGGTCCTGGAACCTGGGGCTGAGCTTGGGATTGCTGATGAAGGAGGTGAAAAGGATCTTGAAGTGCTGCACAGCGTCGGAGTACCGGCCTTGATTCCACAGCTCGGTCGCGACAATGACCAATGGCTGGAATGCCTCGGGATGGCAAGTAGAAGAGTCCTTGTTCAGAGTGCGAACGATCTGCAGGTAGTAATCAACAAAGATGGGGCGAGGGTGCGTCAGCTCGGCCAAAGTCCACAGGGTCTTGATCACAATTGCATCGCCCGGGCCGTAGTGGCTGACGTAGTCATTCAGCAACTCCTGGTGAAGGTTAATGATCTTGTCAGTCTGGGAGTTGCGCTTCAGCAAACGAAGCAGCTCATCCGTGTTGTGTTGCCTGAGCTTGTCGTCGACCTTACGACCACCCCGCAACGCGCGGTAGATACGGACGCGGATATCTTCCTCTTTGCTCAAACGACGACGAGAATAGTAGCACTTGCTGAGACGCTCGGCAAGGTCAATGCAGCTCTCTACATGCTTGGACGGAAGGGTGACATCTTGCAAGTTCGGGGCGAAGAGTGCGGGCCAAACACCGTGGAGGACCTTCTTGATCAGCCGAGTGGCGGCTTGCCAGCGGTGCTGTTCAACATATTGAGCATAGAGCTCTGTCGTCGCAGTGAACGACATCTGAGACATGGTGGTAATGGAGCTCGATGCCTCGTAAACCATTTCCTCAACCGTGGTCTCGGACATGACCGTTTCAGAACTGAAGGACTGCATGACCTCCTTCGATGTGGACTCGATGCTTTGCTGTACCTCCTTGAAGCTCGACGTCTGGGTGCGGTTTGTGCTCTTGTAGTATTCAGAGCAGTGCTTGAAGACGGTTAGAGCCAAGGTGGAAATGCCGACCACCTTCATCATCTTTGCGATTTCCTGGAAGTAAGAGACCGAGGTATCAGAGATGGTAAGACTAGTCTGCTCATGCTCCTGCCAAGCACTGGACAGAATGGAAGCGGCTTGGTATTCTTTCTTCTGAGACTTCAAGAAATGAGAGTAAGCAAGGACAGACGCCAGCTTCCTCTCTTCCCACAAGGCAGTCATGTTGGTGCGGCATTCCTTGTTCACGCGCTGCCAGATTTCGACGTAGATGCGCTCCGCGAGGTCAAACTTGCCCTGCGCAGTATACTGCTCGGCCTCCTTGATCATGGCTTCAAAGTCGAAGGATTCGGAACGTTCAATCAGAAGGTCATGTTCTTCAATCTCCAAGAAGTCATTGATTCTGGTCTGGACAACCTTGCCGCGATGTCCCCTGACGCGCACTCCCCAGTCACCATGGTATTCACGTGACTCAATGCCCTGCTCTCCGACAGTGAGGATCTTGATGTGCTTGCTGATTTCCTCGGCCCTTTGGAAGTCCTTGATTGTTTGATAGTGCTTGACCAACTGCTCCCGAGTGGAGATGACCATCTTGTGGGATTCGCCGTAGAGCTTTGTGTAGCAAGTGACAAGGAGATTAAGAGTCTCTTCGCGCATGGTCATAATCTCCGTCTTGCTCTCCGTAACGCGGCTCACGGTCAGCTCTAGGAAAATGTTGGCCAATTGTGCCGTGAAAGACGGGCTGTTAACCAGCAGTTCGCGGCTCAGGCGGGTAGCCTCGAACAACAGGGGTGTCGCCTCCGGGATATATTCAACGTCGCGGAAGAATAGCGCGAGGTTGATGATGGACTGAAGAGTGACCCTATCCTTGGGGTTCAGAATTTGGCGGCATATAGTAGTCACCGTGGTCTGGTAGGTCAACAGCTCAGGAGTGGGCCTGTTCGCCCAGAGAGTCCTCTGAAGCAGGAGAACGGTGATCGAAGTCGGCAACACCTTGGCAAACTCCTTCGCGGCACCAGTCTCACCCTGGTTGACAAAGACGGTCGTTTGTCTCAGATGAGACACCCAATATTGAACAGCAAATTCAAGCAGAGGGTACCTGCTGACCAGCGAATCCGTTTCGTGGCCGATAAGAGGGGAGAGAGAGGGCTCCTTGCCCTGCGGCTCAGTGACGTACGACTTGATATAGATCAACAACCTAGTCACAAAGTCGGCGTGACGGTCCTTGACGTTGGGGATCAATTTGCCTTTGGAGAAGACCTCCAAGACCGCTTCGCGAATGAGACCGTGACGAAGATAGACCTGCCCGTCCTGGAAAAATACCAAAGAACTGACAGGCCTAAGGACCTTGCGTGGTTCGATCTGGTAGCCCTCGGCAATTGCCAATTTGTCGATCTGGATAGAGGCCAGATTCTGCAATTCCTTAAACAGAAGAGGGCGGTCAGCTGTTGCGAGCCACAGCAACATCAGGCGAGCCTCGTCGGTTACGCCCTTATGCTGCACTGTTTCGAGGACGAGGTTGGTGATGGTCATCTTGGCGTTCACGACATCATCCACCGCCTTGTTCAGGTTATCGGCATTATCCGCGCTGCGAACGCGCTTCGAGGCAAGCTTGGCCCACAGGAATGAGCCCTTTGAGGCTTCGGTGATGCGATCCACAATGGACTCCT